CACACCCTCATCCACAACCAGCATAAACTGCCGACAAACATCCTTGCACTTCAACCTGATACACGAGCACTTGCAGCAGGACGTCCACTACGCAATACAATGACACTCACATTACCACCGAACAGAACCTTAACATACCAAAACTCCTACATTCCATCAACTACGAGAAGATGGAGCTAACTCCCGTTTGAAGCGTCATCTATCCAGTCATCTCGTTCCTTCAAACGGGAAATATACCAGCGCTGCGGTGTGGCCGCGCCTCCGGTGTATCACAGCTTTAGATCTAGGCATGGCAACACCCTAAATACTAGGCTGAGATTAGGAATGTCGGATCTTAATGCTCACATGTTCGAAATTCAAAATCCAACTACACTTAGTCCCTTCTGCTTGTGTGGCTATTCATATTAAGATCCTACACACTATATTGAACAGGCCTCGCTATCATGAAATCAGAATTCCAATGCTACGTAAAACATAAGCTGTTCGGTGCATTAGCGAGGAACATTAGTCACAAAGATAAGACAGCAGTATTAGCCTTATTCCTCGGAAAAGGCAGGAGAATGGAGATATAGTTAGGTTGATATTTCGACAACATGCCTCCTCGAAACAATAGCAGAAGTGAATTAGTAAAGTTAGGTGAATTCATTTCTGCTATTGTTTCGAGAAAGGCATGCTGCCAAAATATGAACCTAAGTATATTTCCATTCTCCTGGTTCTTCCGAGGAATAAGACTAATACTACTGTCTTAGCTACGTAAAACAGATTGCATCATTCCAAACTTTTCTGAGCTTACAACGAGTAACTCAGTACCTTTCTCAAAGGTAACGGGTTTACACAATTGTACCGGGCAGGAGAAAGCAAAAATTTTCCAAGCATTCCTCTTTCAGACCGAACAATTCGCCTAAGCTTTCCGCGGTCGCGTGCAGCAGGCGGGCCACTGTGTAGTGTTGCCGGGCCGGGCGTCCGCCGTCGGCCCGGGACGGCTATATATGTAAACCGGAGCGGCGGCGGACGCCTGGCCCGTCTCGGCTTGCGGACCGGACGAGTGGCCGGTGGGTCGTGGGTTCCCCTGGCGGCGAGGACCATATCCTGTTATTGTTTGGAAAGGTGCTCAAGTTTGAGCGTTTTGCTCATGCGCCATTCCGCTCATCATATCACCTACTGCTTCACGCCCATGATCGAAAATAAACCCAAATAAATCAATCAAATGGACTGACCTCGCTGTGCGCTGTATTAATGGATTGACCTTACGAACTGACCTTGCTGTCGACTGACCTGATGGGCTGGCCATGCTGCAGACGGCATCTCCACCAGCTTCCTCTCGTTACGTCCATGGCCTGTCGTCGAATATCCGTAGATGGCCCAGACGCGGCCGTTCGGGGCAGTAATCGGTCGTCAGCCGCAGCGAAGTGCTTTTTAACCTGATGACTGTGCGAGCTCACTCCAGAAACAGACGCTCGTCTGCGGGACACGAGAGCGGAAATGGAACAGCACGACGACCTTTAAAAGCACACGCACACACAATATGTAATAATGACCGGCGCATGACGACACATAGATGAAAAATGACGCTGCTCTGCACTCCTTAAATTTTAAATAGTCATGCATGCCAGTGGTGTTCAGCACGCTTTGAATGCGTACATGATAGCACTGCCTCTGTGCTGGTGTTGGTGATCGACCTACCAAGGGGTTCAGTTATTTGCTTTCGAATAAGGCTAGGCCATGGATTATGCTGTTATTTCAGCCCAACATATTGCGAGTTACTTTCTGCCAAGGCCAAAGTGGTACGCCAAAGTTTACCGTCTGGTAAAGCAGAAAATTCAAGACCGCGCCATGATCATAATGCACCATTGGTGTACGCAGTAACAGAGGTCGATCCAAGGGAGATAATGGCGCGATCGAGAAAGGGAGGGGCTTGGTCTCGGGATTCCTTGGTCTCGGGACACAAAACTGTAGGAACGGATTCCGCTTTCTAACAAAAAAAAAAAATGGATGTCTTCGGCCCCCTCATATGATCAGGAAGAGCCCATGGGCGGAGATGAAGGGTTCAGGGGTAATCAAAAAGGATTCATGCCTGATGTGGAGGGGGAGGGGAGCTGTGCTTGGAAATCTTTTGGACACCTTTACGCTGTCCTGGGTCCTCTCCTTACACTGCTGGTGGAGTCGTACATTTTGACTTGTCAGACACCTCCATTGTCATTGCTTGGCCGGGCCCTGCGTTGTTGCCGGAGCTCCATAAGCTCAACCACAGGCTCACGGGCGCTCTTCATTGGTCTAGCGCTTCTCCTATCTCCTTCCACTCGTGGAAAGCCTGCGCGCTTTTCGGGGTCGTTATCTGATAACCTGCAGACGTTTGGTCACTCCGGACCCGCCACACCTGTGTCGGGTACTTTTTCCTTGTTCGGAGGACCCTTCACTGCTGCCGTGGGGCGGGGGGGGGGGGGGGGGGGTGGAAGGGGCACATGTTTACATGTCAGTACACTCTCGATCGCTCCAAGCTCCTCCACACTGGTCTTCAGTTTTTTTTTGCCCGGAGGGTCCTGCGATCTTTCCCAGTGCTCTCTACGTCAGCCTGCCGGGCACTCTTAATCGCCCGGTGGGGGGGGGGGGGGGGGGAGGCGAGCCATAGCGGGAGAGACGCGCCTCGGTGTTGTGGCGATGTGTCAGGCGTTCGCCTATCGTGGGCTGCATCCCAGCGTGGGGTCACTGGGCTAGGCCCCGTAGTAGTCAGATCGGTCCAGAGAAGCCCCGCTTCCCACGCGCCGGGGGTGGTGACCGCCTGAGTCGGTGTCAGTGTGGGCATGGTGGCAGAGCACGGCGCAGGAGGCTTGGAGTAACCGGTAGAAGGAGGCTCGTGACTGGAAAATACAGCTGAAGGCTGTACGTTTGGCTTAAGGTCGTGGCTGTGCGTATGGCAGGGTGTGGACAGCAAATGCGATGGAAGACCGACGGTAGGTACTGATGACCAGAAAGCGTGACTGAAGACTAAAAGTGACACTGAAGGCGAGCAAGTAAGCCGAGGCTCGGTAGCCAGTCTCAGGAAAAATCATAATATGGATGCGGGGAGAAGGCACAGGTAGAGAGACATATACGAAAAGAGACCAAGCGGCTTCGATTGGCCCCACCGTCACTCCTCACGCAATATCGTCGGGCCACGCGGCAGGCGTCCCAGTTAGGCACCCACTACTGGTAAGGTACAGGACAGGGTAACAGTAAAAAATGGAACAGGCCGCGTTACTTGAGAGGATGGAGAGAGAAGGGAGAGGAAAAACTGAGCAGAAGCCTGCGGGGGACGAGCTTATCTGTGGGGCTCTGAAAACAGCGACGCACGTGACCAACAAAGGCGAGTAAGCGTTTTTAAACGTCAAATCCGCACTAGGAATGCACGAAAAAGGGGCGAAACACCCGTGATCACAGAAATGGAACCTTCTGAGTGAATCGCAGTGCAGCTCACGTTCCGTTTTTGCCATCAGACTTCGGGCAGTAGGCTCAGCCGCACACGCGCAATGTAAATGGCCTCATTCTGGGCGCTGCGCATCAGTTAGTCCAAAGCAATGATGCCACGTATTTCTCCTCGCGCCCCAAGGGGCAAACTGAGTCACTCGCGAAGGCGCCAGCCGGTGTAAGAATGGTGCTTGTCGTCATTCCGGATATGAACGATCCAAATGAGGCTGATTCATGTCTGGATTGACGAATGGGTGAACGATAGGCTTAAAGAGTCATGCTCAGAGGCATCACCCTGCATACTTTTGAGAGGACTTAGGCCCACGGCCACTCTCACTATAGTGGTTTTAACCCCTGCTTTGCTCTTCTGAGCTCCTCCCCAATGCATATCAGCAAAGCGGAATTCTGAGCTTATGAAATGCAAAATTTATCGGAACTGCTGGCGCAATTGGTACCAAATCACATCACTCATATTAGCATGCTCATTTCGTACCAAATGCTACCCATATCAACTTCCTCGTACGTTACGCCAGTCTGGAAGTGTTGACGCATTTTTGATGAGATATCACGAGCGAAACGGGCAAACAAATGGGCTGCAATATACGGTAACTTTTTAAAGTAAAGGGCACTCCGGTCAAACAATGATCTACGTTTCCATCAACAATGGCAAGTATATTCTTCGCTCAATCGTGACTGCCGTGACATCTGAGCGCGCAGTCCATGGCGAAACGGAAGTAGCGACATTGGAAGTCAGAAATTCTACATTCGACATGCAGTGACTGCATCTGGCGGCCCCAGACGCGAACAGCTGAACCCGCTGCAGGTGGTTTGCTGCCCTGCCGATCTCGTCACCGTTGATGCGTCCCACCTCAAGTCTGAAGGCGGGCTTGAGGTCTTGAAGGCTCGCGGCTTGTCCACGAGAACGTGGTTATTTCCATCATTCCATAGCAAGAAGTCCAGTGGCAGCAGGTCAGGTGGACGCGAAGCCACTCCGCGGCAGCTTTCAGCTGATGTTCCAGGGAGACGCTCCCCAACGGATCCAGAGAAGCCCGTGCCGTGTGCGGTATCACCCCGTCCTGGAATCACTTCTCGTCCCGACCGATCAGTGAAGTCGGCTCAGGGTCGCTCAGGATATCAGAGCGATGGCGGTGTGGCGCTCTGAGGTTGTGTCGGCACGATCCTCCTATTTCGCCGCCAGTGACAGCAGATGAGTTGGGGCGCATGCGTGATGACCTGAATGAGCGTGGTGAACACGTCATCACACGGGACATCATGGACTCCTAGTACAAGCAGATCTGATGACATCCGTCAGGCGGGCTTTCATTGCTTACGATGCATTTGCTGTATGAAGCCTGCATGTATTTCTTTTTTGTCGTGAGGTCTGACACAAAGGGAATAAAGCGCCCTATTTTTGCGTGTCCTTACGCTTAAAACAGCGCACGTATTAGTTGTTCCATTGTTGTCTCTCTTCCTCCTCCTGGCTCTCCCACTCAGTCTTGCTCCCGTACATCAACTCCGAGACGGAGGCGGGCAAAGTTCTTGTCTTCTTTCTGGTTTATTTCCGATAAACATAGTGCAAGCGTGCGAGGTAAATGCGCCCCAAGGCAACATGATATGGCAAATGCAGCTCAAAGCGCCCCGTATACGCAGGCGATATCCACTCAGCAAGCCGTGCTGGCAATACCGATGGATTGTGAACGCCACACAGGCTGCTTGAAGGTTACGAGCTGTGCAATGCACGGCGCAATCAAGCCACAAAAGACAAGACATACAAGTGGTTGCGGAGCGACAGCTATGAGTTCACTGCAAAGGATACCGTCGATTACAAATAGCCTTGGACACATGTACGCATGCATATCCTTTGACTAAATTGAAAAAGATATCATTTATAAGCGTCTTTGTGTCGTTACAAGTCCCATGAACAAGCACATCGTATTCTGGACCTGTCCACACGATGATGGCAGCATACTTAAAGTGAATATCATATCGTAATATCAAGCATTCCCCAGAATGCCACCCAGCGCCCCGCAGGAGGTATCCGCCGCCACCTATTCCCCGCCATTTCGCGCCACGAGCGGCTGTGACGCCGACGACACCTGGTGGCGAACATCGCAACCGGCGGTGATACGTCGCACACAGCGGCAAGCAGCCCAGCCAGTGTTCACAGGTCAGCGTCCCCACCGATCTCCGGGTGACAGGTCAACGACCCTACGACCATCGACGGCTACAGGTCAGCGACCCGACCGACGTCGGCGGCGGGCAGCACACCTTTCTCCGTGATGATGCCGCCCGTGATCAAGTTGGACGGAGTGACATCAAAGGCCGGGTTCCACGCAGCGATCCCTGGAATACGCGAAAACGGTCGTCCGTCGGCATACACAATATTGTGCAAAACAAAATTGCGTGACCGTGCGGTGGGTGTACCTCACAAAACCCGACTGCTGTAGGCAACGCGGCATCTACCCAGCTCGGCCAAGTTGTCTCACGTTGCTGCACGGTACGTTCGCACAGTTCCCACACAGTACACCTTCCATACGGCTATCTCGGTCTCCGGACATAAATCATCATGGCTGAATACACTGAGGACATCCAATGGCAGCTTTGCAGCGACTGTTCCACTTCGCAGAAAATGCCAAGGCAACTACTTCCCAAGAATCTTTCGCATCTCACACCAGCTTTACAACTCATGCCGTGAGAACAGCTGACGACCGGTGTGGCGCCCCAGCTGGTGCGGCCGTGTTCGGAGCCGGCTGCAGCAGCTTACCGTCAGCAGCCAGGCGGTGGCCGGCCACACAGAGCAGCTCCGCCGCCGGCCGCTCCTCAATCGGGATCTCGGCGCCCGAAGCCAGACCCAGGTCGATCGAGGTCGACGGCGCCGCCACGTAAAACGGCACCGAGTGGTGGGCGGCCACGACCGCCAGCTGTCGGCCGGGCGGGAAACACGGCGGGGTGCGTCACAGCGGACCCGGGTCAGGGCAGATGTCGGCCGGGCGAGCAACACGGCGGAGTGCGTCACAGCGGACCCGGGTCAGGGCAGATGTCGGCCGGGCGGGCAACACGGCAGGGTGGGTCACAGCGGGCCCGGGTCAGGACAGACGTCGGCCGGGCGGACACCACAGCGGACCCGGGTCAAGACAGATATCGGTCGGGCGGACACCACAGCGGACCCGGGTCAGGACAGACGTCTGCCGGGCGGGCAACACGGCGGGGTGCGTCACAGCGGACCCGGGTCAGGACAGACGTCGGCCGGGCGGACACCGCGGCGAGGTGCACCACAGCGGACCCGGGTCAGGTCAGATGTCGGCCAGGCGGATACCACAACGAACCCGGGTGAGGACAGACGTCAGCCGAAAAGGCAGAATGACAGGAGAGCATACCGGGGACACAGATCACTGCCAGGGATCCGTCATATCGGACAAGGGTTGATGCCAGGGATGCCTAAAATGGGAAAACGAACCGTGCACCCTGGGGAACACGCGGAGAAGAGCTATATCTTTTCCCAAGCAGCCCGGCGCCAGTGTCAAATCTTCGCAGTACTGAGAGCTGCTGCACCGGAACGACATACGTGCTCAATGGTGAAAGGAAAAATGCCATAGACACACCCCAAAACCAGGTGACGTACCATATTTACGTCACAAACGTCTAGTGATCATCTGAAAGAACGACGAGCGATAGCTAAGAAGCTCGACACCAGCGCTGAGAATCAGGGACATTGCCCGCACCTGGTACGTGCCGATCTTGTTGGCGGTGTCTCCGTTGGCGGCCACCCGGTCCGCCCCCACGACGACGGCGTGGACTCGCCCGTCGCGCATCAGCGCCGCCACGGCCGAGTCGCAGACCAGCGTGGCCGGGATCTGCTCGTGCACCAGCTCGTACGCGGTGAGCCGCGAGCCCTGCATGTACGGCCGCGTCTCCGTGCAGAAGGCCCGCGCTGAAGCGGCCGCGTGACGTCAGCACGTGATACGGCGGCGGAGGGGCGCCTGCGCATAGCGCCTGCCCAGCGCGGCTGGACGGCTCGTCAGCGCGGCACTGTGTGACGCGACAAGGACGACGGCGATGAAGGTCATGAGCGCCGGCAAACAGCAACTAGATAAGCGAGATGCGAAGTAACGTAACATCTCAACGAACCCTATTCTTTGGTTGCAATGTGTCATGAGCAGCGTGTAAGTTTGATTTTCAAAACATCCAGCTAAAGCCAAGTGTGAGATAACAAAACAAACAGGATAGTTATTCAAACCCTTGCTTAGCAAAGGTTAGGGGCACAAGCTAGACAAAAGAGCTTACGGTCGAGAACTCAGCGCTTAAATGCAGTGACAGAACTAGTGTGTGGTCACATTACCACCGCCCGGGACCTTGATTCGGCGCTTCTCACCAGGGGCGCTCAGCGTGGCGCGCCGGGCGGGACAGCGCCCCACAAGCGTGGCGCGCCGGGCGGGACGGCGCCCCACGAGCGTGGCGCGCCGGGCGGGACGGAGACTTACGAGCGTGGCGCGCCGCGCGGGACGGCACCCCATGAGCGTGGCGCGCCGGACGGGACGGCGTCCCACGAGCGTGGCGCACCGGGCGGGACGGCACCCCATGAGTGCGGCGCGCCGGACGGGACAGCACCCCATGAGCGTGGCGCGCCGAGCGGGACAGCACCCCACGAGCGTGGCGCGCCGGACGGGACGGCGTCCCACAAGCGTGGCGCACCGGGCGGGACGGCGCCCCACGAGCGTGGCGCGCCGGGCGGGACAGCACCCCACGAGCGTGGCGCACCGGGTGGGACAGCACCCCATGAGCGTGGCGCACCGGGCGGGACAGCACCCCATGAGCGTGGCGCGCCAGGCGGGACAGCACCCCACGAGCGTGGCGCGCCGGACGGGACGGCGTCCCGCGAGCGTGGCGCACCGGGCGGGACGGCGCCCCACGAGCGCGGCGCGCCGGGCGGGACAGCACCCCATGAGCGTGGCGCGCCGGGCGCGACAGCACCCCATGAGCGTGGCGCGCCGGGCGGGACAGCACCCCATGAGCGTGGCGCGCCGGGCGGGACAGCACCCCATGAGCGTGGCGCGCCGGGCGGGACAGCACCCCACGAGCGTGGCGCGCCGGACGGGACGGCGCCCCACGAGAGCGGACGCACCGAGTCGTCCGCGGCTGTGTACGGAGCGGATGACCCCCAGCGCCGTGCCGTAGCCGGCCGTGGCCAGCGAGCCCGTGTTGCAGTGCGTGAGCAGGGCGAGCGGGCCGGCGGCGGTGCGCAACAGGTGGTCGGCGCCGTGCTCGCCGATCGCTCGGTTGTCGGCCACGTCCGCCGACAGCATCTGCTCCGCCTCCGTCACCACGCTGAGGGCGAGAGGCGGCTGGGAGGAGCGCTGAGTCACGACGACGGGAAGGGGCGGCGACGGGAGTCATCGAGTCACTGCCGAGCTAGCCAGTGGCGTCAGGACGACTCAGGTCCGACGGCTCGCTGGGGAGGGGTGAAGGAAGTTGCATCACTCTTTGGAGCTGGTCGGGTGTCGCTGGTCATTTCATCTCCGCCACCACACTGAGATCGAAACGGAAGGAGAGTGAACCCGTTCTTCCGGACCGGCCACCTATCCCAGGTCGCCTCGCTGTCCGTCAGAAGGAGGGGTCGTCTCACCCGCCCCGTAGCGGTGGCCACTTCAGTCGTCCCACAGCACAGCTGACTGCACCCGCTCCGGCGGCCGCAGTCGCCTCACCTGTCCCGCAGCTGGTCCACGTCAGTGGTGGCCTCGGCCGCCCGCTCCGCCGCCGCCGCCAGAGCCCGCGCAGCCGTCTGCAGGTTGACGGCTGTGGGACGCGACGTCACCAGGTGCTGCAGCCGGCCGCGCACGTGCGCCAGCAGCTCGTCGACGGAGGCGAACTTGGCGCGCGACAGCTCCACGGCCAGGCTGAGGCAGCCGACGATGGCGATAGCGGGGGCGCCGCGCACCTGGCGGCCACACCCCGCGTCCCGTCAGAACCCCACACGTCCCGTCAGAGCCCCACACGTCCTCAGTCCCTCAGTCTCCGATAGACAAACGGGTCGACAACAGGCGCCCATCCTTCAGTTCGTCAGCCAATGGCGGAAAGACAGGCAGACAACCGCACGACGCAAATAGTTCAGCAAGTGTTAACAGATACAAGATGTGAACGTAAAAAACGCTTCTTCACGCACTCTTAACGGCTTTATGGACAGCAAGGGCCTGCGCACTTACAGTCCGGTCGACAACACTTTTGCCATTTTTGACATGTCAGAGGCGTGGGCAAGGCACTCGCACAATTTGACGATTTTGTGCCGTCCGAGGGGGCCGTGATTTAGCGGGACGTGACCAGCACCAACCTGCATGGTGTTGATAACCCTCCAGCCGTCGTCCGTGTCCCTGACGGGAATGTACACCGACTGCCGGGGCAGAAGCAGCTGGTCCAACACCTCCAGCCGACCCGGCGCGTACCGTATCGCCTCCAGTGACATCTCGTCAGGTCAGGTCAGGTCAGATGGGACCTGGCGGCACCAGGCGGCGCTCGTGCCAGTCCGACACCCATCGGCAGTGGGTGAGATCTGAAGCCGTGCAAACCAGCAAGCCTTCCGCGAATGCCACGTCCGTCAGTGGCGCCCAACAGGGAGCCATCAGGACCACGGATCCCTCCGATCGCAACGCCGATCCCACCATTTCAATATCGTGCCCAAAATCTTAAGCTCTGCTCCATGACGCCACTTCGGATGCCGAGATCGACGACCGGAGCCCATGCGTCTGATTCCGGTGGCGTGCCTGGGCCCGCCTCACCAAGACCCGCAGGGAACCGAACCATTGTAAAATTCGACTCATCTACAGGTGAAAATAGGCCTGCGGTGCCCGCATTCGAGACATGTCCGAATGACGCCAAGACCCACACACGTCCGCATGCGGCGGCGGGATAACTTCGTGAGACATGCCAGACAAGCGCACCAAACGTCCGGACGTGTCGACAAGCGTCCCCGCAGGTGTAGCGGGAGACCTATGCTCGTGTATCGGAAGACTCTGAGAACGGTCGACCAACAGACGCATCATTCGGGAACGCTCATCAGCGCTTGAATAGCTACAGGCACACAGCCTCGCACCACATAGACTTGGGCCGGGACCGCGGAGGCGTCTCTCAGCCTCAGCCCGTGCACCATTGGCCGGGGTCGCGGAGGCGTCTCTCAGCCTCAGCCCTCAGCACCATTGTTTACACGGAATGCCGGCAGGTCCCAGCTCCGGGCAGCCGAGCGTCTCTAGCCGTCTCTGGCCGTGCCGCCGGCGCTGAGCCAGCGTCTCCGGCCGGCACCGGATCGCACAGCCACCGGGATGTGGAACGAGCGCCACCAAGGCCGGCGTGCGCATCCGGTCGGGCCGGCGCCGGGGCCACGCTGACGGACGGACGTAAACGCGCCGACACTGAACAGAACGCCGACCCAGTTACAGCAGTGTATTTCGTACAGGTTTTCATCGTGGGGATCGCTCAGAGACGCATGGCACGCGACAAGCTGAACAGGATACCGCCGTCCGGACACGGAACATGTTCCAAATGCCTTCAAGATCACTCGTATGGATATGAAGCCAGTATCGATGATAATGTGGGTAATGTACCGGCTCGGATGAAATAAAAGATAGCAAAGAAATATGGCCTACTACGGTTAAACCGTGAGAACAATTATTACTTAAATATGTGGCATGCATGACTATGTTATTGTCAATATTTCATACGTTAAATTTGCTGCATAATTAGATTAAATGTCTATATAGTTGTTCTGTTATATATCCTTGTAAAGTATAAATACGCGTAAACATCTTACGGCAAACGTATTGCAAACCACCATAAGTAGGGTACGGATGCTGCATGCTTCACCACGTACCGCCAACAGGAAATGCTTGTGACTTTGATAAACGTCGATAGCCACAAATACACAAATACAGTCGCCTAATCACAGAACGCAGCTGATCCACGACAAAACGACGAAGCAGAGGCTGATCGGGGATAGCCAGAATACTTCACCAGCGCCTATATCAATGGCCCTCGTACTCAAAACCTGATCTGACCGCGATCGTTTTCTATCGAACCAAGTCGCGGCATTCTAAGTAGGATGTCAACAAGCGTCTACCAGCCAGAGGGCACAGTGGTTCGGCTTGAGACCACTCGCATGGTGGGGCAGTACCAACCAAACCGCACGGCGCCGATACAAGCGCATCTCCACTTCCAGCGTATGTGTGGAGCGGGCGTATGACACACTGTTTCGGTCGTTGCGCTGTGGTTTCGCGGCAAGTCTTCAGATTAAACAGAAGCTGAGCAGCGGTGTCTTCTCACTCACAACCACGTCCTGTTTAGTATAGCGTGGAGGGGGAGAGGGCCCGAGAGCACCGCACGAGCAGAGGATGCACCCGCCTCATGGCCGGGCTCACGCGGGGACCGAGTTGAGCAGCGGCGTGGTCTCGCCGGGGTCGGCGGCGGAACCGGCGGAGGAGTCGGCGGCGGCGCTGGCGGCGGCCGGCCCGCCGGCGGCGCTGGCGTCCGGTCGGCAGCAGCCGCCGCAGAATGTGAGCAGGCGGCAGAGCAACATCTCGTCCTGGTCCTGGCGGTACACGCCCGTGGCAGGGTCGTACCGGCGCACCTGTACAAACTCGTCCAGCGGTGTCTCCGGGAAGCCCTCGTGGTAGTACGTCTTGATCGTCTCGTACGAGTCCATGATGATGGAGATCATCAGGCTGAGCACCAGGTAGATGAAGAAGAAGATGAAGATGTAGACGTACAACTTGGCAAACCAGAAGACCAGGCAGGACTTGGGCGAGGTCTGGGCGAACGTGGCAAACATGTCATCACCATTCATAAGCGAGAAGAGCGTCTCGGATGTGCGACTGAGGGTGCGGAACTTCACGTGGTACGGGCTGAGGATGAGCCAGCCGCAGAACAAAAAGCCGGCGTAGCAGATGAGCGCACACACGGAGAACCGCAGCACGCTCGGCATCGACTTCCGCACCGTCAGGATAAGCACGTTGTACGAGTGGAAGAAGCCCAGGTAGCGGAGGATGCCGACCCATACCAGCAGGTTGCCGACGCCGAGGATAACGGAGCAGACGTTCCACGTTTCGGCACCTTCGCCTGAGTCTCCCATCTTGTTCTCCAGCTGGATCTTGATCAGAGAGGCGACGATGATGAGCACGTCGTTAATGATGATAAGAACGTACCAGAGATTGAGGAAGCGCAGGTGCTCATCTAGCGTCAGGTCGTACTGAAAGTATTTCTTCATGGTCGTCTGCGTCTCGCGGCGCAACAGCTCGGCCCGGTAGATGGCGCGAACACACATGATGAGCGAGACGGCGCACACCATGATCACCACCACGTTAACCAGCGTGAAGAGCACTTCGATTTCGGTGTCGTCGTGCTGAAACTCGGTGTTGCCTTCGCAGACTAGCAGATTGGCGTTCACCTCCATGTTGACTAGGATCTGGCCGTCTTGGTTCTTGTTGTCCAAGGTCAGCGAGACGTTGAAGTAGTAGCAGTCGGGCACGTCCAGCGGCATCACCAGCTTCAGTTTGATGGCGTTCAGGCCGAACGACAGCCGCGTCTGCCGCATGCTCACAAACGACAGGTTGAAGTCCCTCTGGCGCAGGTAACTGAGACTAGAGAAGTTGTGGTACTGCACCTCCGCGGCCCCCGGCTGCAAGCGCACGCAGCGCGACTGCACGCGCTGGTCGAAGGCGAACGACAGGCTCCCCGGATTCACGTCGGCCACGCGGTACTCGTCCAGGCACAGCTGCGCCACCGGACCGCTGGCGTTAGGGAAGGCCACGCCGCCGATCGATTGGCTGCCGATGTCGTAGTAGGCGTTGACGGCGTAGTCCAGCGTCTCGAAGAAGCGTCCCTGCGAGTAGACGGCCAGCGGGCCGACGGCCGGCGGGTACGTGTTCACCTCGCGGGTGACGTCCCAGCCGAGCACGAACAGGTGCTCCAGCGAGGTCTGGCTGTTCTGCAGATACGTCACGTGTGCATATCGCCGGCTGGCGAACAGCGACAGCTGCAGCGTCACCAGCACCACCTTGACCAGCTGCATCACCAACTTGTAGGGCGGCCGGCTGCGCGCGCGCCATTTGTCCACCGGGCTCATGAAGAAGAACTGCAGCTTACGGCGCGTGCGCTCGCCGGCGGCGCGCTGGCCCGGGTCGGGCGAGTTGATACGCTCCCAGCGCTCGGTGCCGGCCGGAGCGGGCGTCACCGGCACGTCCAGCCGCAGGCCGGCGCCGGACGAGCGGTGCCCGGCGCCCAGCAGCGCCGACACCTCGGCGTCGGCCAGCGAGTCGCGCGAGCGGCGGCCGGGCGCCGGCGAGGGGCACGGACTGTGCGCCAGCGTCGCCTGCATGGCGTCTGTCTGGCCGACCGGCCGGCCGCGCGGGAGCCGACCCCGGCGGCGCCTGTAACAGGGCAGCGCGCGGGTCACCAGGGGCGCCGCGCCGGCTCGCGGCGCAGCAGCACGGAAAGTCACGCGCGGGACCATCGAGCAGCCGCCCGGGCGACGACCGGGGCAGCCAGCGGTCCACAGTGGTGCTCCCCGCATCTGAGCGCTCGATCGCGCCCGGTACCGCACGGGGCGCAGATGGCTGCAACTGACGATGACTCACCGGCACAGCTGTGTTATGGCCACATGCGTCAGAATATGAACGATGCATCGATCAGCGGAGGAGCGCGGTAGGTCGGCGACCGCAGATGATGTCTCTGCAGCCCGATGAGATGACTGAGATGTGCAATGTCGCACGAGCCGAAGCTGAGGGCGGCAGTGCTCTCCCAAGCCATCTCAAAGCGCCACAATGACGTTTTCAAGGTCAACAAACTACTGCCGTTATCCGCTGATCGATACATCGCTATATTTAAACAAACATGAGTCTGTCATGCACTCAAGACCACACATGACAAAACATAACATGACAACCAAAACATGACAAACTTGCGTAGAGTCTCGGGGTCCTTTTTGAATAATCTTTCGTTATGTTACAGGCTTCCTTTTCCATCTTTTGAGCTTCCTCTTCCATCTAGGAGCTTTTAAGCGGCTTTCATGTAAGCGAATGACAGCATTGCCCGGTCAGAACCGTCCGGTAGCATTTTGCTACGTAAGAATCCTTTCAAGCCGAAGCGAGGGTTTTGGTCGCTTTCAAGCAGTTTGAAACGTCGAGTTTTAACAACATCGCCAATGTTTGGTTGAAATCGTCGCTTGAACAGGACCTCCGGATAACTTAAGGGTCGATAAGAGTCAGCACAACAAAATCCAAGCTTCTTATGCCAAAACCGGGGACTCAAGACTTAAATAAAAAATCACCGGCAATTAAAATGAAGTGATGCGAAAACGCATGCCATTTCATGCGATACACCGAACGAGAAAACTGCGCGGGCGCTCGGCTGACAGCATATTATTTTTACAGCATTCGCGCCTCTAAGACGCATCCAAGAAGTTCAGATTGCATACTCGGTGGTTTGAATCTTCAACCCAGTCTGTTAGACTCGGGGTGGAAGTACAGACAGGGAGAGAGTAGGGAAGGCCACCGCCCAGCACATGGCACAAGTGCTTACAATTTTCGCCACCGTCCATCAATAGATGTAATTCTAATGGTAACACCTTGACACGTCGGGCAGCGCTCGCAGGCATCTGCAGAAGAGTATCGAGTAAGGTAAGGCGAGCCCAATCACAGTCGCTAACGTCAAGTATCCGATGCCCCCAAAGCGAAACCCCGTATTTTCATAGAGTGCTGTTGCTTTTGTCAACAAAGTGAACCCAAAGTTCGGCCTATTTCTGCAACTTACTTTTTGTTTCGGTCTGGGTTAAATCAAAATGCAACACCACGCAAACAAAATAGCTTTAAAGACGTGCGCGGATTTTCAATACCACCAAGTTAAATGTTCGTTCTTGGTGGTCGATTAATAGCATGCCTGCAACAGGTTTTTTCCCCACAATAATACACTTGTTGGGAAGCCCGGTGACGCCTGGACTATGAGCAATCTGCCTATGTACACCGCAGAATAACGATTCGAGGTAGCTTATTTGGTTTCGTGATCAAAACCGACCCATTTGTTCCGTGGGTGTTCGTATTCGTACTTGTGTTGGGTACTGCGGCACGCTCCAACAAAATCGCCAAAGTTGCAAATAATATGCTGGAGTTGGCTATTTAATACGATTTCAAAAATACCACAGCACCAGACGTTCAACTTCCGAGACAATATGAACAAACAGCAACATACAATCAGCCTAACTTAGACACCAGTCCCAGATTACCCATCACGGGTTTCTGACACGAAACAGAGCGCGCAGTTGTACTGAACCGTTGTTTAATCCGCTGGCCCGCCAGTGGGGTCGTGTGTGTCTCCAGAGTATCGTATTACGATCCGCTACAAGGCTCGGGCACTTCCGGCGGCGACCGGAACGGTTGTTGAGTGACCAAGGCCTTACACGGCACAATGCGACGATGGACAAGTTCAGGATGGATGCAGAGGGGAGGGGGCGTCGTGATCCCACTGCAACTGACTTCCTGCACCAACACATCCTACGGTTGCAGAGCTTTCATAGTGTTGCTCTCTTCCAACAGGAAGAACAGGTCGGCTACTCACTTCAAAGCCACCGACTTTAAGCCCACCCAGTGACTCAGTCACTCAGAAACTAATGACTCCGTCAAGTTGGGACCCATCACCTCCAGACTGATCTTGGTTCTTGTTCGTAATCACGGCGCATCTCTGCTTGAAAGCAGATTGCATTAACTCGAACCCCCGAGGGCATGTCGGATGGGATGAGCGGGATTAGTGGGATGAGTGCTTTCGCACTCCTTGGCCTTGTCTGTCATGATGGATGCCATTGAGAGCTTGGGATACAGCTTTCGTCAGCTCCCAGCCTCCTTTGAGTTTGACACAGTGTCCACCTACTTGAAGGTCCCTGTCTCTCCACGCTGCCTCCCCAGAAGCTTAGAGTTCATATCAACAGCAGCGAGGCTTTTCGACGCCATCTGGATAGCCTGGTCGCTGAGCCAGGGCGGATTTCGTACCGTTCCTTCAATCGGGATGGCCTCGGCCAGAGGCCGTCGACAAGTTGTACGCTTTCGTTCGAGAAAGGCTTGATTTAACTGCCTTGACTGTGAGTCTGCCCGTTGCTAACTTGAGGGAGTTGGTGAGCGAACTGGCCTGCTGTTTTATCGCCGTTTCAGCACGCATACACTGGTGGCGAGACGCTTGCTGATGTTCTGCCCATCACTTGCTACTGGTCATGCTCTAATGTATGTAACGCCGCAGATAAACAGTCGCGTAAGAATCTCTTTTTGGAACCATCGCCCAATCTGTCTTTGGAGTTTTATCGGTCGTAATATTCTGGCTTTGACTCCATCCGTCTCCTCGCAACATGCGGCCATGTAATCAATTAGCGTGCAACAGACGATATCCCTCGCTGTTCTGATCAGTCTGATAAGCCGACTGTCGCCAACGCTAACCCTATGGTGGGGCAGATTTGCTGGTACATCACGCACCGTGAACCGAACCGAACCACAGTGTTACATAAACCACTCCGCTTCGGAATCTACCCGGTTTCGGGGGTCTACCACCGGCGGCTCTCGAGTTATCAGATGCCAAACGACAGTTTCTTATCTATTACTTAAAATGTACATCGGACGGGAGATCGACTCTTTCCGGTATATCAGGCGCCCCCAGGCAGAATCTGGAATGCTCTTGAAAGGACAAGGAGCAACAAACGCAACGGGCAGTGGTTTGAGCTCGACAGTGCACCGCCTCTTACCGTCAGGAGGACCAAACAGTGTCGATAACAGTGAGAGAAGATGACTGGCCGATTCTTTCATGCGGTTTTGATCTCATTTCCGGCATGAGAGCGCCGGATTCTTAATACTAGAAATTTGTTACGGTACGTTGTGTACAAAAGCCATCAAATACCCATTTCTGAACTGAAAAGGGACCACAAAAGAAAAGAGAAACATAAGCAGCTTGGAAGCGTATGAAGGCGAATCGCGCACAGCGCACGACTATCTGTATGATCCATCCGAAGGCCATGATGGAATCTGGGGAAAACATGGCGGGGCTCATCTGGGACTGCAAGCTATAACATCCACACTAGATGGTCCAATGTTTCACATTTCCTGAAGCATTTTCTTTCTAAATGAGGCTGCTGCCAACGTTTTAAGTCCATAACGTTTTTTCACAAATTGGAATGTGCGCGGAATGTAAATTGGCGCGCAAGAGAAAAACATTACGAGCAACCGGCAGGTCGAAAATCACACCAAGTTGATGACACCGCGATGTTCAAATTAACCGGACCAGCACGAGGCTGAGCGTAATAGAAAAGGACGGTATCTTATGACAAACTTCGTAGGTAGCCCAGTGCTGAAGCCGCATCCACATTCATTTGTGAGAACGCATGGCCAATGATTGTCCTATTGGCTGCCGATAAATGCAACTCCATAATATACATATAGGTCACACTGGTGACGTATCATTTCAAAACTCAACTATACAGAACGTCTAACAATTGGGGGAAGTATGGTCGGAACAGAGCAGGAATGACGAAATGCATACAGAAACACCGACAGACGCCAGCGATGAGTAGGACAGGCTGGGAGAGGGGCGGGGATTGAAGCATGTGAACGCCACGGTAAAAAAGCACGCTGTGGAGTTGTCCCACAAGTTTAATATTTCCGTATGTCGACGTACACATAATGGACCATTCGTGCTTATACGCCGTTCGCAATATGCACTGCACGTGACTGATCCGCAATGCAGTTGGCACAGCGGCATTACGTTTCGACTAATTCCCAAGCAGTTACTGGTAAAAAGCTTCATTCCACTAAGCACGTGAATCTGAAAATAGTTGCTCATGCTCTGTAAATTGGAATGCAATTTTACGTCCACATGATGACGGCCGGTAAACCCCTTATCAGGCAGAAAGCAAGGTTGGCGGAACTCGAAAAGGTGGCCTCAAAGTCAGGCAAGACGGCTGTTGCGTGCGAACATCGCAAACAACAACCCAAACCACGACCAGGACGAGCAATGGATGGGACAGTGCGGTGAGAACGCAGTAGTGCCCTCGTCGCCTGTTTTTCTTGTGTCCAAGTGGCTGGTGTTGAGTTCGGTTTTAATGCGCGCTACAGCACAGGACACGCCAGTTCAACGCGCCACGATTGCGCAATCAATATGGCATGCTGCCAACACACACCGCAACCTACCGGCGTCAATATCAGGAGGTCGGCGCCGGCAGCACAGCTCAGGGGCGCAACGGCGCAGCGACTGAGGCGGCCGCCGCTGTCAAGTCAGCCCGCAGGACGGCGATCTGACGGTCTGATCAGCCCGCAGGACAGCGGCCTGCGGCCAGATCAGCCCGGAGGACGGAGGCCTGGCGGTCAGATCAGCCGACACGACGGAGGTCTGACGGTCAGATCAGCTCGCAGGACGGCGGCCTGGCGGCCAGATCGGCCCGCAGGACGGCGATCTGACGGTCTGACCACAAGGTAGGACGGCGGCTTGGAGGCGGCACAGCACCAGAGAGCGGGCGCCAGGGCGGGCGCCACAACACCGCACAGCAGCACTATTGGCGGCCGGCTCGGGGCGCACCGCGCCCAGACCGGCATACTCAAGGGCGCGCTGATCCTGCGCGTGCGTGCCGGCCGTGCGCAGGCCGCACCATCCGTCGGCCCTCATCACATACCGCCGAGAGACGAGAGCGAGATACTATCCCTCCCTCCCTCCCAGGCCGCCGCTGAGTCACGCACTGCAAATCACAGTCTTCGCGCGGCGAGAACTCTCCCGATAAAGGAAACGAGCTCGGGTTCCACCATTGGATCGGTAGAAGTGATTGCCAGAGTTAGGGTTAAAGAATCGTCGCTCATCAATGACTAATCACGTTACTAGTCATTCACACTCAACGACGCTGAATTAGCGACGTTTGAGTGACGAAACGTGCCGCATATAATGTATATATATATATATATATATATATATATATATATATATATATATATATATATGTATATTCTTTAGAAGCCACGAAAACCTAATACCGCGGGCGTCGACTGAGCAGATTGGGGGAGAGGGGACGTAGCCCACACTGCAAAAAATATACGTTACACCAACCATGTCTGGCGCAGCAGCGATATCGAGGCCGACGTTTCAGCACACGTACGCCATAAATTTCAGCGCTGAGTTTGGCGCGCAGTGCCGCCACTTTCAGCACACACAGAGCCAATAGTTAAAGGAATTATGATACTAAAAATAAAAATTTCCAAAAAAAGAAAACTTGCCCCAAACATTTTTGCGCTGAAGTTATTCGAAAATTCATTGCAATGTGCCCTGGCCTGAGTTCAGCGTGCGCGAGCGCGAGGTTCGGCACACCGATGTCACAGTGGATCGTTCAATATCACAGTGGATCGCAGTGTCGTGCAGTTAGGAGTCCAGCACAGTGGATGCATTGTCTGCAGGCTGGGATAAAGCTTCCATCTTGTTTCCATGCATGCAATAACAGAGTTGATACAAGTATTCAGAAGTGGCAGCTTAATTAACTCACTACCTTAGTGTCTGTTTCCACCGCGATTTGTGCTGTGTCCCATGTTATGTGATGTTAAGCTTTAAAATAATTTTTTTAGCATGGCCTCATTCACTTGCAGCCCACTGCAATACTAACAAGGTTTTACACAAAACACAACAATCCCATACATGTAATGCCATACACAAATATAAAATAAACACAATAATGCTGATAGATGCTGATAGGGCATGCCAGGTGGCGAACATCGCCACTTGAAAGAAATTATATCTATTAGCAAAAATTGTGTCCATTTAAATCTAAAAATAAATTATCAGATACTGTAATAGACAACAATTTCTCCCAGTCATGTGTCGATTATAACTCTGCAATGCTAGGTGTATATGTAAAAAGAAACAGCATTATAAAACCACTATCCCAACACACATGTTTTCTGTCTAAAAATGACAATTTTCTGTTACAAAACCATGCATTTTAGTTAAATGGCATGCTAGGAATGCATTTATGAATAAAACAGGATGCCTGAAAGAACCTGACAGATCCCAGACACTGCTGTTCTAGCACATTGGAGGCATATTACTCATGCTTCTCTAAGCACCTGCATATTCAACAAGATGATTGTCAGAACTCATACTGGCTACCTGAGCCTGGTCAAATAGATTTTATGTGTCCAGTGATTCTCCAAATGGCTTTATCATGTATTTGTTTTTTAACACAGCACATGAACTCGCCAATTTTTGGCATCTGATTGTCAGGTGAAGCCAATACACAAGAGCTGGATACAGCTGAACAATGCTTCCCAGTTTCAGGTGGAAGCTGGAGTTAGCAATTACCAGCACATGTCAAGTACAACAGACAATAATCAAAGCAATACCTATGCCTGCACGAGTGAACAATGTTGCTGAAAAGTATGGTGGAAGCCAAGGAAATTCACATTCTCAAACTGTGCAGTCTCAACAGTGAAACACAGAGACACGTGTTCCGGGGTTTCCACGAGAATACTTTTTCCCACATGCCCTGCCTAAGACTACAGGGCCAAAAAAAATTAAAAGACCGATAATTACTTACCACTGGCGCGCACAGAGGAACGCCGAAGCTGGACGAAGCCCGTGAACTTGCAGCGAACTCCCTCGCACCCAGGCCCCCTGCTCCACCGTCTCCACACTTCACACAATTAATATATATCGCTCTGCACGCAACTGATCAACTTCCTTGGCTGCGGCAAGAAATGACTGTGCAGCGCCATTCAAGTCGATACAGCCGAATATGATCTGCTACCATATTGCTAAATTTGTGGGCAATAATATTTTGACATACTAAGTAGCAATCAATGATTTACTCTAAGTCTAGGTGTGGAGCGACACGAAATTTGTATTACCTTTCTATGCTTCCATTTTTGCGGCGTAGCAGCAGCACGGCATTCCGGTGGCACCGGCACAGCACGGCACTCCAGCTGCACCGTCACCGAAGGGCCCATTAAATGACATAATCCCTTTTCCAAAAGTCATCGTGCCCAAAGAAGACAAAAGTTGTCGGAAACGGAGGGGTATATCCCTCGTGATGACCAGCTCCCCTGGAAAAAGACAACTAGAGGAGGAGGACCGAGCAAAAGGCGCTCAAACGGGTTGTAAAAGGCAGAACAAGGCGAAAGTGGGACGGGAAATAAATGTAAGGAGGAACAGTCCACTGGAAAACGTTCTCAGTACAGACGACACCCGTATGTGCTGCTCAGAAGGTGTGACCGGGAAGGGCGAGGTGTGCATTCTTTGTAGTGGGTGCAACCGTTGGGCACATGAAGCGTAAAGCACAGGGTCTGTTGACGGTGCGATGTCATGAAAGATGGAAGACCAATAAATCAAAAGTCTTCGGTGTGTAAAGGATGGGATAAATGTTTGAGGATAAACGCTGAGAAGAAAAACGGGCAAATCTGAAAATAGGCCAAAATGTCGAGGCCCAAGAAAAAATATCACCCACTTCGAGTCGGACTGCCACGACCTAGAATCATAGATACAATTTTTACACGATGTAACACGCACAGGTTACTCTTACTGAAAATTTGATGATTCTAAGCGTGTTAGTTGGGTGACCGTTACCATTGTTACACTCATACAGACTGCAGCGAGAAACAAAGGGCAGTGAACCCCGCGTTTTGTGCTTCCCCACAGTATGACTTCGTTTTCCAAACCGTTCGAACATGAAACTAATTCTTACCCGCTCTTGACCACTCTTGAAAAAACATTCCGAAAATTGATGTGATTGCAAGTGAATCACTTTCCTGACACCCGCACCTCAAATGCCCCCAGGATATGAGGCAGAAGAAAGAGGGTCAGTGCTACCCCTTCCTTCCCTATACTGCATAGTCTAAATGCAACACAATTTGACGTGCCGGGGGTGCAATATACCGAATATATTTGTTTTTAGTATTAAAAAGTGACATCGCGTTCGCATGGCTCGTGTCGCATTTCTCAATTAGAATGTAAACAATTTTCGCACTCTTTCAAGAAAGTCAAAGTATGCAGCGCAAAATTAGAATATTCCCATTTTACGACACAAAAGCGTTGCATATTCCTGGCTGCCCGTGTGTTTTACGTCAAGAAAGAATATCGTACCAAAAATCTACAAACTGTAATAGTTTCCCCGCTTTCTGCTACCATCTCCAGCATTTCAATATTTGCGCCATGACACGCCACCTGAGTGGCATTTCGAGTAAGGCGAGGTGTGCAAGTTATTGCCTTTGCGTTAAGCCATTCATCGTGGGGTTTGATTCCCCGCGTTGCCCACACTTCTGCCAGGATCAAAGGCACGCGTCGCCATATAGTCTTAGAGGCGTCATAAAGCCCAAAGGCCCCACAAACATTTACTGTAAGGTTGGCGAATTAAGAAATTCAAATATTTTCTTGTTTTGTTTTACTTGATTTATTTCGTATTGTGTTATATAAGTGTTTGTCTTTTTTACCAACTTGTGAGATCATACAAAGTCTTACAGTATTTGTACTTTTAAAAATTGCTAGAGTATCGATAGCCAGGCTTCACGTTGTGAAGGCCCGGCCAATAAAGCGGGGTCCCAGTCCAATATTAAAGGAGGGAAGCACAGCATTGAGGGCCCAGCCCAAGATTGGGGGGCATGGCCCTCAAAGAGTCACAAAGCTCCACCCCTGTACAAGACCATGCCTCGTGGAGGTACAAAATCCAAACAAGCGTTTTATTGTTCAAATCTGAGTACATTAGTCCACACTAGATGTGTTTTGAGCATAGCTTCGTTACATATGGCTCAGTGAGTGAAACAATGTCGGCCCGCCGCTCGCGTTCTGCTGTATCGTCAGTTGCCGCCCGCTGCCCGCGCCGGTCGTTGGTCGCCGTGTAGTATTCCTTAAAAACCGCCGCCGTTCCGAAACCTGAAAAGCTAAGAACATATTTTTGCTGTCTAAACATGCGCAATAGATGCCTTATAGGTGGCTGCTGGAAATTAGGCGCGGTTGCGCAGCATGCCGGATAGGTATTTGAAATACCTTAGTGGAGCCGCATCGCCCCCCCCCCCCCCTTCCCTAGCAGGGCGGTGGCAAACACGTAAAGGCACGTTGCCGAAATATTAGCACATCTACATCTCCATTCTCCTGGATTTCTCCGAGGAATGAGGCTATTACTACTGTCTCATCTATGTGACTAATTTTGCTCGCAAATGCAATAAACAACTTACGAATCGTTCACTAATAAAAAATCGCATTTACATAATCTTCACTTTACACCATGTACTACAGAAATTCTGACATACCGTTTTCTTGTAGCCTCCTGGCTCATAAAATACGGAAATGAAATGGAACACATTTCATATGACATGACGAGTGAAGTAGACGTAGTACACTATCATGCCTACATGCTGTACAGCAAATGTGCTTGACTGCGCACGCCTACGCCCGCGTTCGGCGCACGCGCAGCCTGCAGGGCTGCATAGCGACAGGGCCCCGAAGACTGCGAATAAAGAACAACACATCGCAAAATACCACCGCGTACTTAATAAATCCAAAAATTGTTCATCGACAGATATAAAAATGGGAACGTAGGTACTGAAAGACGCTGTGCAAATCGTGAGACAGTTTCCAAAATTATAGCCAACGACATTTTCCATTTAGTGTACATATGCAGGCACATGAACAAAACGAAGTCATAATATCGTCAGAATGCTGCGCAGACATGGGCGGGGTCAGGGGAACATGGTCCCCACTTTTTAAGGTGGGAGGCCAGCAATACTAACTGGCCCTCAGCTTTTCAGATTTGATTTGGGTATAACTTACTTTATGCCGAGTTACGTAGTTCACCAGCCACCTTCATCAAACCGCACTGGAAACGATCGCTTCGTATGGTAAGTGGCAGCATCATATACCATCATGCATGGCGAACAGAGATATTTAGGGGCAAACCCGATGCTCCTCTAGTACCACAGGCTCCTTTTGTCTCTTCTGTAGCCTTGGTTCTCCTGCATGGCCGATTACAGTCCTCTCAGCATATGTTTACAGAGTTCAAGATGGTATGAAGTGTCCCTTTAAGGGCCTCCAGATCAACTAGGGGACCCGCCCCCATGCCGCCAGAATGGCAGCCGAAATGCACCCCGCACTGGGACGGAAAAGCCCTGCAGTGCCGGACCGATAGTGATAATGTGCCCCCTAGTGTTCTGCTCATAGGGCTCATTGCCCGAAAAACGTAAAGGGTCTCAAAAGTGTTGAATGGAATGGATCGAAATGAGGTAAAAAAATGAAAACAGCCAACCCGTGTTCGCCTGAGAACGTTCATTCTTTTCCTAAATTGACTAGTGAGACGAATGCCACAAAACAATTAAGACCCTGCACGTTCACAATCTCAGGAGCAAGGACAGCGATGGCCGTGCCTGCAGTTTTCGTAAACCGAACGGCATTGGCCGATGTAGTTAACACCAGTCGGTGATTACCGTACGCGCGAGAACGACCGTCGTGAAATAATGCTTCCGAGAGTATTTCAAAAGAAACTTGATCCATTCAAAAACTAAGCTGAAGCGTATTTTCTTTTAAGTCTGGGGGATGTGGTAAGGAATTTTTCCATCAAATTTGCACACGACCGAGATCCGCTGGCTACGCGTGGCAGAGTCGCGTCAAAATGCCGCACTTCGCAAAAATGAGCGCGTGCCGAGCGAAAAAAAAACGCAAAAATCCCATAGGGTTAACACGGGCTATGCCAATTTGACGACCACCGGCCAACGGCCCGACACGCCTCGCTTCCCGGAGCCGTATCTCGATAACCAAGAGTCACAGCGACGTGAAACTTGCACGGTGCGACAGAGCACGAGATGGGCCATCGCGGTTTGGTGAGTTCCTGGCGCCACGTGACACATGTTGGCAAGTTGAAATCGGCCGTTTTGGGCTGTTTTTTACGTGTACCGTTATGTCTCGGCGCGCAAAGCACCCACAGGTCTAAATGTTGTTTCCCAACATTCACAATTGAAGCGGCCACATTTGCAGTTGGTTTCGCGACTTTGTGCAACGCACCGTTGCGCCGCAAATTGCAAAACAGTTTGCAACGGGCGGAGTTTTAAGAGCTGGCGCCGAATGCCAGCCGCTACCGTCAAAACTATGAGTGATCTAGCGTTGAAAACTACATCAGCGTGTCGGTCGATTCATTCTGTCTCTTATGCACCCTTTTGTTGAACGCATTTTACAAAATTGCCGCTCGCAAATGACCATAGACTAATGAGTTGCATGACGGTATTTTCGTCACGATGGCGGCAAGTTGCGACCCGAATCCCGGCGTACACCCCAGGCGTTGCGGGTTAAAATGGCCGTTTGCGTGGCGGACCTTCGACTTTGGTCATTTAGCCGGGAGCATTCTGGCGTGCCTTCAGTCTGTCCGGGTGTGGGTTCGCGGGGTCGTCGTCCTTAGGCGCGATCTCGGTTCAGGCATAGTGGTCGGCGGCGCTGTGTGGCGGTCACCATGCGGGTATAGGCGTGTATTTGGTTTCCCAACATTCACAATTGACGCGGGTACACTTTCAGCCGCATCGCGAATTTGTGCAACGCGCTGTTGCGCTCCAAATTGCAGGACAAATTGTCAAATGCCGGTGCCGAATATACAAGCCGCTACCCTCAAAACGATTGATGATCTGGCGTTGAACACCACATCGGCGTGTCGGTCAACTGATGGTTTCTCTACACCACACTTTTGTTGATCGCATTTTCACACATGCCACTCGCAAATGAGGCTGGACCAGTGAATCTCACGGCGGCTTATTGCACCGCGACGGAACGGCGCCGCCCGGTATCTCGGCTGACGCCGGATGTTGCCTCAAGGGTAAACGGCCGTCTAATCACGTGATTGGCTTCCGTAATTCATTGCATCCGACCGATTGTGCCATCTCGCACCAACATCTCGACAACGGTGGGCTGCAGCGACATGGGAATGGCACGAAAAAGTGTGCCATGCGAAATGGTGCGGTCACACGTATCGCATGGCACGGGCTCACAGATGGGTTTTGCTCTATTCCACGGGTTTGCGCGTTTTGGGCCACATTTCGGCACCCATGGCGTGAACACACCCGGAATTGGCACGCTCCGATGACGAATGAACTTGTGACACGTGACACACGAAACGAATGTCATGTGACACGTGCACATTACCTGTGAAGAGTATTTTGCCGATCTGGTCCATTTTTACGCTTTACGAGGGATTTCCGCTCTTATGGCGCGTAGTAACACGAGACTGGCATCTGTGATAAGCCATTGAACGGGAAATCCCATGGTGTCACAAGTGCGGGGTGGCACGTTACTCGTGTCGGGCACAAACGAGCCAGGAAGATGGCTTTTGGTCTTTTCCACGGGTTTACACGCTTTGTGCCACATCTCGGCACCCAGAGCATGGAGCCACTGAGGAGTGGCATGCATTAATGAGAAATCGAGCAGACAAGGACGTTGCACGAATTGTCATGTTGCACGTACTGCGTGTAACGCGTGCGCGACCCAGCAAGATAGATTTGGCCGTCACCGGCTGTTTTTTACATTTTGCGCCACATCCCGGCAACCAGGGCACGTGAAACCGCGATGATGGATGGCTTTTACTAAGGATGATGGATTTTTCACTTCCGCACAATCCTTTACGTTTTGTGCAACATCGCTGCACCCAGGGCACGGGGTGCATTCGGGAATAGCCTGTATTAATAAGGAATCGAATGGACAATCGCGTGATTTAGATTTTAGCGTCAGCTGTGCACAAGCCAGGACAACTGACTTGGCTGCTGCCGACCGTTTTTCACTCTTGAGTACAATACAATGCTGTTTAATACAACGGCAGTGCGTGCTGCCATCATTCAAAAGGCTGACTGTTCATGGAAGGGGAAACCTCACCGACCACGTCCCGTGATCAATCGCCGATCCCATGGAATAGGTTTGGATGTGTTGCAGAGAACGCAGGCAAAATGCACTGCCTCCTGCCGTCGGCCGCCAGAGACCGCCAGCACCGCGCGCGTCCTGCTCCTGAATACTTTGCGCGATATCTCGGCAACCAGGGCATCTAGAACCGTGATCCCAACTGCAAAAGATACATAATGAAAATTTATCAATTTTACAATAGAGCAGCGGAGCAAGCGCGCAAAGTGTCAACGGCAGGGCCGACGCAGCGCGTGCTAAGGAGACTACAATGCCGAGCATCGAGGTTGTTGCTTACATATGCGAGCGCGCATGTTCAAAACCATGTCACACAATTTTTCTCAGTGATTGATTCTGACTGAATGTTGGACACTTCAAACGCACATGGGTCAACCAGGTCAATACGAATTTTAGACCGCTTTTCGATCTACGATCTACGTTTAGAAGTCATCAAAATTTCTGAAGAACCTACAAATCTGCCAAAGCATCTGAATTGTATTGGTTCAGAAAAAGTCTACTGAGCCATGGTAAAATGAGAGTGCCTGTGATTTATTCCATGCCATCGTTCAACGCCCGATATCTGCAGTTTATCGACTACAAAATGCAAACGGAATAAATATCGCCGTAGTCTCTGATTTTTGTTTCTCTTCTGGTTAAAAGGTAAATATAACCTGCCTCTTCATAGTTCCACTGCTACCTTTCGCCAATTGAAACTGGTTTCTCCAAACTCTCGGCCTAATATCCCGTATTCCTTGCAGATCTACCTTATCTTTCCCTCCCATAATCTTGAATTCCTTCTATCAGATCCCCTCTAAGTATACGATATTTCAGTGAATACAAATCCAAGGCCTTACGCTTATCCTTACATTTTAAGTTGCCAATCCCATTGATCATCCTAGCTGCTTTTCGATGCACTCTCTCCAGCCTGTCTATATCTTTTTGGAAGCATGGGGATCAAGCCTACGCACAACACTCTAGGTGTAGTCTGATATAAGCTAAGTACAACCTTTTGGCAACATTCCTCCTTTTGTAATGGACATTGCTGCTAAGTCCCAGAATTCGAAGCGCCTTGCTCGTATCAGCCCCACATTGCTTTCCAGCCTTTCAATCCCTGGAAATCATGGCCCCTAAATCCTTCTCTTCCCCGATCTGGTCGAGCTTTCCTCCTCCCCACTTTAAAGCTAATCCCCTCACTGCAAACCTACCCACAGGCATCACCTTCCGCGTATCATAATTAAATGACATCTGCCACAGAAAAGCCCAGTTCGCCTGTTTCCCTAGTTGTCTAATTGTTTATAAATGTGTTGTGAATTAAGAGCAAAAAATATCTCTAACCCCCCCCCCTCTACCCCCGTCACCGGGCTGGCGTCCCAGTAAAATCTCTTTAAGCATGCCTTGAGCCTGGCCCCTCACCAGGTTTTGAAGCGTTCCTATGCAATTTCCCTCGCTATTCCTGTGCTCAAGCTTTTCATTTGAAACTTTTTGTCGCTGCTGGTGTCCATTGGATAGCCCAGTAACGGCATTGTGCTTGGGCGATACATAACGGCACCTAAGAACTTATTAGCATTAGCTTTATCAACAGCGGTGTTCGAATTGCTCTCGTCTCCTGATAAGACATCACAATCAAAAGTCATTATAACAGAAACGTTTTATTCAACCTCTTTCCCGATCCTTGGCTTCTCTCAATACCCTAGAACTACGGCTCCACGGATCGAAACGGACGTGCGCATCGCATCCGTCAGCTCTCGCGTCGGATGTTTAGTTAAGTTCGGTTCAGTTCTAGTTCAGTTCTATGTCTTGGACTAATTCCCGCGCGCGCACGCAAACTGGCGCCCCCGCCCACAAGCGTTACTAGATTCTACATGCACTTCTGAGCGGAGGATCTCTTTACACCGCGGCGCGCAATAATTTTACCACTGGGCTGAATATTTTGATTATTCGGGCGGAAAAGCTCTTGATGTCAAGGCGTGGAATGGCTCTAGTATTGAAATTTTTGTTTTGGCGGCCGTTGATGGTATTAGTGGTATTTGGGATCTGCTTGGTACCTTGGTGGTGGTATTTTCGGTCTGTTGCCATCTTTTTCTTTTGCAGAATGGTCAAAATAATCATACACAAATTAAGAAATACAATGCCCTGCTATTGATTCATGTCGTGGCGCATACTTAATTCGTGTGAAGATCACGACGTACCTAAGAAGGGAATACGTTTACACTGCCGCATGTCTCCATTTCATGTAGACCCGGCCACGGCATTGGCAGGATTTTTTCATGAGACATCTGTGAGACACATCATCAATATGCGCCGAATGTAAGCACCACAGAGTCACTTAATTCCAGCGATAGTAATTATTCCAGGATCATTAATCCACGTAATTGTAATGATTTTTGTCAGAGAAATGCTACTCTGAAGGTGTATGTTGAGGATGATAAAGTTCGTCGTTTAATAAATCACGGAATAAATCACTCGCTTTAACTTGAGTGACACTGCACGCCTTAGCATTGCCGTGTTCGGCCCAGAGAGGTTTGGTGGGTGCTCAGGGTAAAGCATATAGTGGCGAAAGAGCGAATCACCACAAGCAGCCCATGTCAGGTGATGACAAACATGCATCCATAAACGTATTGAGCATAGTTGCACAGGGCTTCTGTAATGCGTATGTTTCGTATTCGTCTCACTTCGACCTTTTCACCTCTATGCGCGTACGTAAAAAGAACCCTGGTGGATGTCATTAAAAGTATGAGCCATCGGACGACAGGATAAATGCTCCCAAAGTTTCTCTTCCCTCAGTATCCGACCATTAACAACTCCAAGTAAACGTATATATTTGGCCCTCGCCCTACCATAAGAATGTAGGTACCCGTTCAAAATTTGTGTCAGGAATTAATCTGGAGCTCCTGAACTCATTTTGTCGGTGTGAGACCGCGCGTGGCCCGCGAAGTGAGGGCACAGGGTGAGAAGCTTGTTCTCCCTTGCCACCTACCGCGCGTTGGAGCCTACGCCCTCAAGCTTCTACCACTGACAGCGGAATTGTTCACGATCATTTTTGGTACCAACATTTTTTGGTCCCGTCAGCGTACGGGGACGATGGTGTCTGCATGCGTGCGTTCCGCCTCTGTTTTGAAGCAATCAGTGACATGCTGCTCCACTTGGTCAGTTCTTGCCTATTATTCTCCGAAGTGTCCGAGTCCTGGAAGCATTTATTGCCTTCTCCATCTCCAAATCCAGAGATCCTACGAGTCCTTTTTAACTTCCGCCCTATCGCCATCGTCCCTACCATAGCAAGAATTGTGGAGCGTGCAGACCATCAGCAGCTCCATATCTCCAAAGACTACTTCCTTTACCAAAACAGCACGGTTTCAGACCACGCCATTCCACGGAAACCGCTCTGGCTCGTGCATACGACCACATGCTAACTGCTAACGACCGCGGAGACGTGTCACCGCTCTGCTTGCTTAATTTAAGTAAACGTTTCGATGCAAAAGACCATTTTGAATTACTGACACATCTACACCTGCGCAACAACTATATTTCTGGTTTTCGGCTTGCCTAAAGAAGAAAAAAAACGGTCAGGGTGCGAGCACATCTGACCGTTTCAGGAACAACAAACTCTGTACTGAGCTGCCTAACAGCACGGAAGTTTTTCAGGGATCGGCACCAGACCCCCTACTCTACTGCATCTTCGCGAATGACCTTAGCATCTTCGTATAGAATACGGTCGTTTTGCAATATGTGGACGACACCCAAATTCTAGTGAGCGGCAAAAAAGTCACTTTCAGAATATAGTCACGCAGATGGAGCACAGTCACAAACACAATGGCCTATAATTGTTTGGTCTCGCGCCAACGGTTAAAAAAAAAACTGGAAAACCCAGTTAATGTTGTTCGGATCCTACAAAACCTGCGCAGCCACCCGAACTTCACTGTAAGCCTCCGTGAGCACGAGCTTTCCCCTACTTGGGGATGCAAAATCTATAACCGGCATTTCACCCATATCTCAGCTGGAATTCCAACGTTTCTTTCGTCACTGGAAGCTGCTTAGGTCTCTCTCTGGCCTATCACATCTGAGTGACTACATGCTCCCTAGCGCCTTCTCCACGCTAGTGAGCCGCTTGGTCCTTTCGCAGATCCTACACTGCTTTTCGGTTTATGGAAATGGTGTTCAAACGATATTTTTAGAACACAAAAAAACATTAACTTTGCAGAAAACCTAATCCTCGGGCGTGATAAAAAAGTTATATCACGTTTCGGATCTGCTGGAAAAACTCGGTTGGCTGTCTGCGAACGGCCTCGTCTATACCGCACGTTGACTTTTCCTTCGCAAGGTACTACGTACTGGTGAGCCAGAAGCGCTGGCCCGTGAGTCCCGGTAGGTATCTCGAACCCGAGAGCGTCACATTCGGCAGGGTGAAAATTTGTTCGTCCTAAGGTAACGTACGAGATGGAAAGGAGGCGCTTGTACTTCCCGTGACCTGATATGACACGTGACCATTGTGTAGGGGTTTGGCCGTGCATTGAAGCGCCATCCAATACTTCGCAGTCCACGATGACCCCGGAATGGTCTGAGCCGTGCATGCATGCACAAACGTGCGTATTTGTGAGCATAGTTGTTAGCTGCGTGTATGTATGTATGCGCGCGCGCACACATATATACACACACACACGCGCGCACGCGCGCGCGCGCGCGTGTGTGTGTGTGTGTGTTTGTGTGCGTGTGTTTGCATTTGTCGCCACCGACTCTTTGTTTGAATATTGTGACAATGGACTTGAATAGCCAGGAGTCCGTCGTAGATAGTCTAAGTAAACGTCTATGCCTATGTCTACTCTATGCCTGTTGCAGAACTTTGAAAAATGATACTGAATGCCTGTATATTTTCATAAATTTGAAATTGCACTTTTTCATAAGTCAGGAGCGATATCCTCGAGGTGGTACTGGCCGCATTCCGCGCGCAGTCGCACGATAGTGTACGCCTGCCGGATGTCTTGTTTTCTATTCGTTAGAGGAGGGTTTCCGGCCCCCTTTCCAAATTAAGGAAACGAATTGAATCAAACTAGGAAAGAAATTTGTTCGTTTGCTTTTGGGGGTGGGTTAAGTCATCGTCTCTTGCGTAGTCACTGTTCGCATACCCGGAAATTTGCGGTTTATTCAGCGACTAGTTACGATTTTCTGAACTACGGCAAATGGTCAATCATCGCACGAAAACACCGAAAATTACCTTCATCTTGCAATATCATAGAGCCTTCATGGACAACTGCAAGGTCAAAGTACGGGGGACTCCATATAACAAAGAAATGATCGACCGAATTCAAATTTTAAGCCATCAAGATATTTACCATAAGAAGGACAAGCGCCCGTCAAAAACTGCAGACCGTCAAGGCTACCTTTCAAGTTAAGATTTACGCTCAGAAACGTTTTTCCAGGCTACATGCAAGGGAAAAGAACGGGGAATCCCATGTCACCAAAAAACACCAGCTGATTTCAAGTTTTCAACCACCAGAATATCAATCAAAGAGGGAACTAGCGTCCGTCAAGAGCTCCTGACCTCTCAAGGTCACCCTTCGAGGTCAAAATCAGGCTCGAATGACGGGGGCTCCACACCACGAAAAAGTACCGGCAAATTTCGGATTTCTAATTACCAGAATAATCACTTAGCGCATGAACTGGCGTTCGTTCAAAAATCTCTAACTCTGAAGGTGACCTTTCGAGGTCAAGTTCGTGCTTGCGATGTTGAGTATTGTGATGCTTGTAAATGTGAAATCGGCCAACAAGTTTTTTGTTGATGTGGTGTCTCCCGTCCTTTGGGCATGAATTTGATATTGAAAGGTAATCTTGAGAGTCCAAAGCTGTTTGAATGACGCCAGTTCATGCGCTAGTGATAATACTGGTACCCATAGGGCGAAATTTGACGTTTATTTTGGGGGTGACTTGGAATCCCCCGTCCTTTGAGCCTGCACTTTATCTTGAAAGATGGCCTTGAGAGTTCAGGAGTTTTTGACGTCCGCTGGTTCCTCGGTTAATTTTTGGTGACAGAGTTTGATCTCCTATTCGATCTTCTATATGACCTTCCCGTCCTTTGACCTTCTGTATAACCTTGAGGGTCGCATGATGTTGTAAAATAAACGTCATTTTACAAGTGCTCGTGCAGTAATTGAACATCTGGCGTGTTTTCAGAGAAATCGGAGCTCGTCGCTGAATTACGCTGAATCCCCCCCCCCCCCCCCCCAGACAGAAGATGCTTGGGTTTGCCCACGGCGATCAGATGACCTGGTTTGATGCACGAGAGGTCAGTTGCACCGGTATTCTCTTACGCTGATATGCTGCATTTTTTACGGCAGCCTCCCGATACTGTTCTCGGCCTGGCCCAGCGAGGCTCTGCCGCACGCCCAGCAAGGCTCTGCCGCACGCCCAGCGAGTATTGAGGCGCGATTTCACATCTCGTCCAAATACGTCTTACTGACAATAACGTGTTTATTCCGGGGCTCGGCGTTGGTGACAAATGGCGATGGGATCACTTCCCTACGCTGAACAGATCAGAACTACGGCTGCTTCGAGCGCGACACAGCCGACATAGCGCCGAATATCAAAACATCAGAGTAAGTTAGCTGTCCGCGCGAAGTGAAGATAATGGATTAAATGCAACCCAACTCAGCTGAAGCCAACTGAGCCAAACGTTGCGCGTGACGTCGCAAGTTTCAAAATTAAGATACAAAAATCAAAGTCCAACGTGAAATCCATCCATTGAACAAAGCGCATTTATAACGGAGTCTATACGGACCGTCACCGCCCGCCGCGGCCACGCAATAAAGAAAATCAATCGCTTAGAGCCTCCTCAGTCAGCCTTGTATTCGAAACAGCCAGATAATCCCTATCAGATGTTACTACTTCAACTGCTGCCTTTACACTACAGACACAACAATACTCTGGTCTACAAAACTGATGCAAATGCAAGCATACAACACATGCAGGGAATCATGGCCAAAATGGCACAGGCACGCCTTTGTTGCCTACGGAATCCCTCCACACACCTACAGACACAGGTATCGCCACAGCCCATTCGCACGCGGAATGTCCAATCTCGAATCACACCACCAAGCGGAGCTCGCAGAGCTGGCTTCAATCTCCGCGAGCCGAGGCCTTCCCATCCCCTCCGCCGCCACAGTGACGCCGCCAGTCCCGCGGCTCCTACTCCAGTTCGGCTCTGATGGGCATGGTGGGCAGGCGGTGCAGAGTGACGGGCGTGCCGTCGCCGGCCGGGCCATGCTCGCCAGCCAGAGCGCGGTCGCGGTCGTACTGCTCCAGGTTGTCGCGTACCGTCACCAAGTAGTTGTACATGGCCTCGCTGTGGGCCTGCGGGCACAGAGGCGTCGGTCAGCGGCGCCAGTGTCCGTACGCCAACGGCCGGCCAACCTCACCTCGAAACCTCTGCAGCGGTGAATGAATACCGGTCAAGTGACGTAGTTAACCGTCAGCCGAGCACGTGCCACCCCGCAGCAGCACAGCCACCGACTGGAATCATGCAGCGCACGGTCTCTCCAATCCGCCGTCCCCTGTTCGCCCAGCGGCCGTTGCAGCGCTGCCGCAAGAGCCGCTGGCTGGGCGCCGCCGGGCCCGGCGACGCCGCCGCCCAGGCCGCCCGGCCGCGCTCACCTCGACCATCCAGCGGCCGCGCTGGCCGCCGGGCCCCGGCGACGGCTCGCGGCGCCTCTTCACCGGCACCTTGAACTGCTGGCCGCGGCGCTTCTCATCGGCGCGCCAGTCGCGATGCGGGCACCGGCACACCTTGACCTCTATGGCCTGGCGGCCCAGCGCGACGCCCGAGCTGCGAGGACAGCGGCATGGTGAGCGCCGGCACGCAATAAGACGGCCACGCGCGGGCGGTGGGCCAGCGCTTCAAGCCGAGCACGCTCAGGTACCAGTCGCCACTAACACAAAAAAGCGGGATAGGATGACTTTCAGGCGCGTCAGAAACGCGTGGCCGACAACGGGCGCAGTGAAGTGGGGCTGCGCTACCGCCACCATAGAAAGGACCACAGTGGATCGCCTAAACCATACGGACATCCATCTCTACAGAAGATAAGACTGCAACACGAGGACAACCACTCCGCCGCCCAGGAAACACTGCAAACATCACGAACCTTTTTGCCATCATCCTCCAGGTTCGACGCGAAACTTTATTGCATTATGCCATCAATTCTGCTCCCTTCCTACCTCGCAACATGGCCGCACAGAGCACATGAGCGCATAACTCCTAGAGTGCTTTGCTGAAGGTTGACTCACGAATCCAGGGCTGGGATGCACAACAAAACCAGAGACAGACAAGGCCGGCCCCGTGTTCCCTGCGGGCACGGGGCCGGCCATGTCGCCCATCCCTGTCCCACTCACTTGAGCTCCTCCAGCGTAAATACGACCATCAGTCTGCGGCGGTTGATCCCGCCGACGCATGTATTCATACAAGTGAACTTGAAGAGCACCTGGTAGTCAGCGGTGCCCGGCGCCGGGCGCTCGAGCGGCACAGTCACGCTGCGTCGCTCCTGGTTCTCCTCGTAGCTGGCAATCATACCGGGGACCGGATCAATGACCCAGCCTGGGACGCTGACCGCTGGCGCACTCTCACCCCGGCCACTGGTCAGCGCGCCGAACGCGTGGCGTCGGGCCGCCTACTGCGCGCTGACGCGCTGGCGACGTGACGCGGTGCGGTTGGCCGTTGGAAGTCAGTCACCGGCCACCACGATTCAAAACGATGCGATGCAGGTTGTCAACCGAGCACTGTGCCGCGTCACTTTGACAGAACGAGGCATGTGGCTTGCAACTGGCCCGCGCTATATGCAGGTCGCATAGCCGGCAAACCAACTCCCAAAAGAACCAGACAATGACACGAAGAGTCACACCGTAATACTAAACTACGCACCATGGCACAGCTCCAGGGCATCTAACACCGGTGGAAAGGACATCCAGTCAGGCCGGCAACTGACCATAATGGTGGGTGGCCATTGGCACCACACAGCTAGAAGGCTAACCCCTGGTGAGCGCTCTGCAGTGTCACCCACCTGGCTTGCGGGTGCTCGGACCAAAGCACGTGCAGCAGATTCTCCTCGCCGGCGTTGAAGGCGTGCTCTGTGTCACGGTGGATGGCGCACCGACGCACCGGCGTCTGCGCGTGGTGCGGCTCTCTGTAGACGGGCGTGGCGCGGATGACCAGCACGCGCGGATCGGCGCCGGCCGCCGTCCGGAACGCCACCGGCACGGCCACCATCACGTCCGTGTACAGCTTGGCCGCGGCTTCGCTGTACACGTACGGCAGCTGGCGCCCGGCGGCCGCCGACGGCGGCGTCTTCACCGCCACGCCGAAGTTGTACATGCCGGGCCAACTCTCTAGCGCGGGCACGGCGCCGGGGGCAGCGCGAGCCGGCGGCTGCTCCGTCGGGGCCGCAGTCGGCGCGAGCTCGGCGGCTTCGCAGGCGTCCGGAGCTGCCGGCGGCGGCGACTGCCGCGGCGCCCGTCAGTTCCACAGCAGTCACGCACGTCCGCCCATACCAACATTTGGCATGCTGGTGTGACTTGGATCAGATGCACAGTAAGGGTAACAAACTCTCATGAGAAAACTGGACATACAGCAGGCACCAAACTTCAATTAACATGGATGTGGAGTGTGAGAAGACCTTGCACTACGAGACAATCCCTTTAAACCCAGGTGTCAATTCAAACGATAAGGGGCATGTGAAATGCTTGCTTAATCTCCGATATGTTTTACCCTGCCCCCCCCCCCCCCCCCAACAAAAAACTATTGATCACCTGAATTACCAACCACTAGCTCATTTGGAATAAATAAGCTTTGATGAAGTAGAGCACCTTACAAATTATGCTTAATTTCAATTCATATGTATCTGAAGAATTGTATTGTCACCCTTTGTACACCTTTCCATTTTCAGCCAGTTCCTATGTGTTGAAATTTATCTGCAACTTGTTGGGTCCAACATGATATATAACGGAGGAGGCGGTTGCACACAGCTCTTTTAGTGTCACTTTGGTGACAGTGTACTGTGGCACTGCTGGAATGTGCCCATTCCTGTACATTAAGATGGAGGTCGAACTAGTATTAGCATATTGTGACAACTACAGATGAGCTGACAAAACAAACATGAAGAATTGGAAAATAATAAGCAAATTGCTCCATTCTACATGCCATACACATGCCAGTCCAATTATGTCTTACTTTAAAAGAAAAATGGCTGGCATAAGTATCATCTCACCTGATGATCTGTTTCAGGCAGCAGGTACTCTTCCATAGGATTCACCAGTGAAATGGCAAAATCTTCCAAGTCCTTGGAGTCATTTGGGTTCAGCATGGGAAGTGCAGTTCTTAGTGCTTCATGAAAATCATGGTCTTCAAGCTTAGGCAATAGCAAGAGGTCTGGGTCTGTCTCACTTGATGACATGGTGGCTGGAAAAACAGATGGAGTCATTTTAACATTTCTGCTCCCAGTGAGATATGTCCTATGCAGAGCAAACATTCCTGGGATGAAGGTAGGGACGGCCGGTTGAGGTCACGGGTTAAATCTGACCCGAGCGAGTGCTGGGTGTTGTTGCGCATTTAGTATCCGAATCGTAATTCGAATACAAGCCATTTCGGCATTCCGGCGACGGGTGTTCCGGACCCGTTTGTGCAAGTTCTCGTGATGACCAGCGGGGTGACGGCGACAATAAGTCTTCAAGCGACTACTGCTGCGACGCTAGCTGCCGCCGCTCACCAGCCGGCAGCCGCAGCACCGACATTCGATGCTCGCCTCATCTCCGAGTACGACGGGACCGGTGATGTCGTGAGCGGGATGATGCGTGCAGAGATGCTGTGCCAGCTGAAGAGGGTGGCCGTCGAGTCGGTCATACCTCTGCGCCTCGCCCGCGGCGCGTTCCACGTCTGGTCGCAGTTGCCGGTGACCGACCGCTGCTCCCTGGAGGCTGTGCGGGGCGCACTATACTCCGCGTTTGCCCTCGATCAGTACGCCGCCTACGAGATGTTCGCCACTCGACGACTGATGCCGGGTGAGGCGGCTGGCGTGTTTCTGGCCGACCTCCGGCGGCTGGCGGACCTGTTCGGTGCACTACCGGAGCGCGCGCTGGCCTGCGCGTTCGTCGCGGGGCTGCCGGACGCCGTCCGCCAGATCGTCCGCGCCGGCTCCAAGGCTGAAGGATTGGACCTGACCACCGTCCTGGCTCGTGCTCGTGCCGTTCTCAGTGATGAACGGGTCTCCGCGGCGGCGGTGCCGCGACGGGCCGCGGCGCCGTCCCCCCGGCCAGCGCCGTGTGTCGTCGCACAGTCAACCACCACGCGCCCCGCGTCACCCGTGCTGCTGGGCTTGCGGAGAGCCCGGTCACGTCGCGGCGAGGTGCCAGCAGTGACCAGGGAAACGGAGCCGGAGGGGACGGGTCAGCACCGCCGTCCTCTCCTGCGCGGCACTGAGCGGTGCGCTGCCCGCCATGCGGCTGAGGGTGGATGGCCGGGAGTGCAGTGCCTTGATTGACACCGGCAGCACAGAAAACATCATCTATGCTCCCTTCTGCGCGCGGTGGAGGCCGCGGCGGGTATGAGTGACTACCATCAGTGGAGGTGAGCTGCGGTGCTGCGGGGTCTGCGGTGTGGTTGTGGAGGTACCGACGGACCGTCGCGCCTCGCTCGAGACGGTGGTGGTGGGGAAGCGGCCGCTGGGGGTGGACATGGCCCTCGGGGTGGCAGGCGTCTCGGCGCTGGGGTGTGTGGCCGTACTGTCCCCGTCTGAGGTTCGTTCTTGTGGGTCCGCGTGTCGTGTGCCGCCGAGCGTGGACGCCCCGGATTTCAGTGTGTGCTTTGACGCGGCGGAGTAGAAGAGGAACGTTGCTTGGAAATGGTCGGACGACGTGGGACCGGAGTGTCTGACGAACACTGTCGCCCGATATGCTGTGCCGCCAGCCGCTCGTCGTATGACGCCGAGTTGGACGCGTGGGTCGCACAGGGTTGGCTGGTGCCGTATGATGAGGGTCGCCGTGGGACGGCGAGGGGGCTGGTACCGTTGATGGCCGTGCAGATATGCAACAAATCCAAGGTGCGCCTGGTGATGGACTGCCGCGAGCTGAACGGTTTAGTGACGGCCCACACAGCCGACACTGACGTGTGTGCTGATCAGCTCCGAAGATGGCGCCGCCACGGTGCCAACGTGGCGGTTTTGTGACGGCCCACACAGCCGACACTGAGGTGCGTGCTGATCAGCTCCGGAGATGGCGCCGCCACGGTGCTAACGTGGCGGTTTTGTGACGGCCCACACAGCCGACACTGACGTGCGTGCTGATCAGCTCCGGAGATGGCGCCGCCACGGTGCTAACGTGGCGGTGGTAGGTCTCAAGCGTCCGTACCTGCAGGTGCATGTAGAGGAGCGGCTCTGGCCGCTCCAGACTATGATGATTCGGGGCCAGCAGCTTTGTTTGACGCGCTTGGGTTTCGGCCTGCACATCGCCCCTCTGGTGATGAAGGCCAATGTGCGGTCCGTGCTGGGGCAGGACCCGGACGTACAGCGTGCTGTCCTCCCATACGTGGATGGTCTCCTCGTAAATGAAGATGTGCTCGGTGCAGAGCGTGTGGTGGCCCACTTCGCGGAGTTTGGGCTAGACTGTAAGCCTCCGGAGCGAGCGGCCAGCGGGGCGCGGCTGTTGGGCCTGCGCGTCTAGACAGTAGACGGAGGACTGCGATGGGTGCGGGACAACCCGGTGGGCGCGCCGCCGGCTCGCGTGACGCGTCGTGCCGTGTTTGCGCGGTGTGGGCGACTGGTCGCACGTCTGCCCGTGTGCGGATGGCTTTGGCCTGCAGCGGCCTGGCTCAAACGGCGTGTGAACCAACTGACGCGGACGTGGGATGACGTCACCGAGGATGTAGCGCTGCGCGCTCAGATGGACGCCGCAGGACGCTTGAACAGTGACGACCCGACCCGTGGCCCGTGGTGCGTGGAGGGTGAAGACATGGTCATCTGGACGGACGCGAGTTCTCTGGCCACGGGGGTCGTGGTAGAGTCGGCGGACGGTGGCGTCATCGAGGACGCGTGGTGGCTGAGACGGGATGAAGTCATGCACATCAACATGGCCGAGCTGGACGCGGCCATCCGAGGCGTCAACCTGGCCGTCGCCTGGGGAGCACGGACAATCGGCCTCCGCACCGACTCGGCTACCGTTCATCGCTGGCTTGATGACGCCATCAGTGGTCGCGCGCGCCTCCGCACCAAGGCACACGGCGAGCTGCTAATCCGGCGGCGCGTCGAAATCGTCTGTCAGCTGGTCAGTGAGTCGCGGCTGCGGTTGTCGGTGGCGCTCGTGCGATCAGCGGAGAGCTGAGCCCACGCGCTGACGCGCGTGCCCAAGGTGTGGCTCCGTGATGCGAGTGCGGCTCCTGTGGGCGAGCCGTCGCCGCCCGGTGAAAACGCGGCGCATGCCGCCGGTGGCGTGGGGAACGTGTTTCGCGCGTCGGTCCGAGAGTCGCATGAGCGGGCGGATCACCCAGGTCCGTCGAACGCTGTACTTGACGCCGTGACGTGTCGCGTGACATCACGTGAGCCGTAGCACGTGCGGTAGTGGAGAGCTGTGATGCGTGCCGCTCGATCGACCCAGCGCTGGTGCGATGGCGACATGGCTCGCTCGGCATGGCTGCCACGTGGCAGCGCATCGCCATTGGCGTCGTCCCACAACGGACAGAGCTCCTTCACCATCATCGACTGCGGACCATCCCGCTTCTGCGTGTGGCGCCCCCTGCGCCGCGCAGGTGCCGCCTGGGGAACCACGCCCACCCGTGTCTGACGGTGCGCAGCTCAGAGTTGGGGACCGAGTGTGGATGCGTCGCCGAGGCACGCGTTGCACGGAAGTGTCGCGTCGCGAGACAGTGACGGGTGTGGTGTCGCGGCAGGTGGTAGAGCTCAACGGAGTGCCGTGGCACGTGAGAGACGATCGGCCTCGGTGCACAGGGGGCGAAGACGGCGACGGGGACAGTGACAGCGCCGACGATGGGCCGCCGACGTACGTGTCATGTGTGGACTGCCAACCGGATGCAGAGGACGGTGCTGGCGCGGCTGTAGACGCGCCTGAGCCGGCAGACCGTGCGGTTGGGTCGGCCAGGGACGAGCTCGTGCCACTACGCCGGAGTACCCGCCTGCGGAGGGCGCCGCAGCGCTATCGTTGCAATGATCCGTAATGCGCTGTTGTGATCGTGCGGCCGCGTGGGCGCACGGCGCAGCCGGCTATGTTTATGCCTCCGGGCCATTGTCCACGTGACCTGGCCAAGGTCGCGTGTGCAGACCGGAGCGGCTGCAGACTGGAGGTAAGGACGGCCGGTTGAAGTCGAGGGCCAAATCTGCCCTGAGTAAGTGCAGCTTAACTTTTCATTCATGAGAGGGAGCAATTATGGGATGCTGAGCAAACCAGTATATATGGCAATACCCCTTTTAAGCACATAGCCAACACCACATCACCCTGCTGTATCAGACAATGTGAGCTCTATTACTTCTAGTGAGACATGGGCATTGCTTCATATTGTCTTAAACACCCAATTGTGTATTGTTCAAATATTACAAAGCACAGCCAATAATATCAATACATCCCATGAGTCCAACATTATGCCTAGGACATAACACTTGCACACCCATTGTTTGCACAGCTGACATCTTTTAATTTCCATGTTAATCAGTCCATTAATATTTGCAATGAAAAGGTGGTGTAAGCAATAGGGTTAGAAAATGCATTTTAAAACAAAACACATATATTTGATAACCATTAGCTCACTTAGAATGCATCATTTCACAGGACATTATTTCTATATTTTGTTTTGCATAACAATGACTACAAAGCTTCAAACTTTTTAAAAAGCACTGGGCACCAACACAAGCATTTGTGAGTGGTAGTAGCCGCAGGATCCTTCCTAGCACCATCTCAATGGCTTTTAGCAATGCAGTTGTGCCATTTTGGATAGGGCAGGCAGATTAATACTGCAGGCCATGTACCCTCAGAGGCATAAAGTTCCACTCTTACTATACTAGCCAACACCCTTCCATGCCCATCTGTCATATACATCAAGAAATTGACATGGTACTGAGACAACACACCAGTTGCATGTTTGGGTACTCTTGAAGAGTTAAACCTTCTTCTAACAAAGGGTTAAGGACTGACTTCAACTTTTGTACCTATCACTCAACCATATTGCCTGTCTCTGCTAGCAGTGATGGTGGGTTACTGGTAGCATTGTCATACAAGTGTCAGGAATGGGATAGATCTAAGCACTTATAGCTGTTTACTACAACCTGGATATAATACAAAAATAAACAGCCCTCCTTTACTACTTACCCTGAAGGCACCAAAGCTGATGACATGCATAACAAAACAAGGATGGATAGCTATTCAAGATAGCTTGCATCTTCATTACATACATTGACACAACTGACAGTTATGGCCAAACATAAGTAAAGCATCACACATAATCAGTAGATGTCAAAGAGCAAACACCATCAAACTGGCCATGAAATGCTGATTCTTTTGCCCTTGACAGTCATGGTCTGCAGCCAGCAACAGCATCTGTGCAGGTGATGCCAAGGAGATTACTGCCAACTTTTGCCAGAAAATGAGAATTTAATCACCAAATAGTGGGTACCATGCCTCACACAAGTGCTGTCTGCCATGAGCTGATACCAAAAAGATACCCATTCAAAACTGATTGGATAACAACTTTAAAAATTATTGTATTACATGAAAGGCCAGCAATACAAATCTATAAAGCTCTATCTGACATCTCCTTGAAAGTGTCTAAATTTAGGCACACATTAACCACAAAAGGAACTGTGCCGCCCAAAGCAAAGTATGCCGATAATTGTAATCGAGCTTGTTCCATTATATGATTGTTTCAAAATCTTCAAACGTGAAGCATTCTCTTTACCGGCAACCTAGAAGTCAGAACTGCGCTGCCAATATGCTATGAACCAGCAAGATAATAGCAAGTTTTCTCATTCAAAATGAAACCTTCAAATTTCGAAAACTTGCAAGCGCTGCACTTACCCAAATCTCCCTCACATAAGTCGGCGTCCCCGCAGTCTCAGCAAATGTCGTGCACGGGCGTTTCTGGCGCGCGAAATGGCACGCGTTTTAGCGCTTACGTATTTCCATGACGCTAGAGACTTCTCCTGACAAAATATCTCAAGGTAAACCGAGGAGTTCTAGCTGACGGATTCACAACACGTCCGCGAGAATATGTACTAAGCGTCCACAGCCGGAATGTTCAACTGTGCTCAATAACGACCCGAGATGGGCAGTCATATTGGGCTGGTCATGGCTGCCCACTTCGGTCCCATGTGGGCATATCATGGGCAATCAGCTGGGTCCCATGTGGGGCCTAAGTGTGACCCACATGGGGCCCACTTGGGCTACCCAGTTGGGACCCATGTGGGTATTTTCAGCTAGGTCCCACATGGATATGCCCAGCTGGGACCCAGATAACCAGCCCAGATGAGACCCGTATGACTAGCCCAGGTGGGACCTTTTTAAGCACCCCAAATGGGCCCCAATTGGGCTTCACCGATCTGCTCCTTCAAATTCCATCTGATTGACGGACCGCTGTAAGTCCAGGCAGACTGCTTTCATGGGATGCGCATTGAAACGTCCAGAGTTCATAAAGTCCAATGGTCAAAAAGTCCAGAATCGCAGCATCTGGCGTTCATAAGATCCAGAAAAGTCCAAAACCCTTGGACAGAGGATAGTCACGAAGTCCAGTGTTCATAAAGTCCAGTGTTTATTAAGTCCAGCGTGCGTGAGATCCACGGTTTGGGATACCGTCCCACTTCCTCGCAACCCTTCACCTGATCGTTCGGATATTGCCCGATAGAGGGCTACCGGAGCTGATTTCGTCCGCATCAGCTGACGAGTGACGTCATGCGGGACAGTGCTGCCCAGTCAAACCACTGTGCATGGATACGGACAACGTTTTGTTTGAGCGCACAAACTTTGCCGCGTCAACACGCCCCTGGCAGCAGGCGCATTAAATAATTCAAAACTTTGATCTCTGGCTCGTGGTATCGGGAATAGCTGGTTATTCGGCAGTAGCTGCACGGTAATCGTGGAAAGCACTTGTCGGGTCGCGTGATGTTTGATATTGTGGGCTATAGATAAGATTCTCCGAAGTATTTGGTTCCGTTATTTACTGTCTGTGTTGGTGATGTTTCTCATTTTTTAAAAGGAATTGATGGCTGATGTGTAAGGCTGGCTGATTTGATGTCTGCTCCAGGTAGGCGCGCATATAGAGCTCCAGCTCCTGGCACGCTAACCTATACTGTTAATGATTTCATTTGACTGATTCCCCGTGCTCCTCCAATGGCAAATCCTTTCACACGCTCCTGTAAACGGGTTTATTCTTAATTCCACATGCCTTTACTCTCAAACGGAGGGGGTGGGGCTGTCTCATCGGCTGAATTCGGATACTATTCCCTGGTGAGACACGTTTAATGGCCCAGCCTACTCTTTTCTCCGATTACATATGTTTGAAACAGGCGCGGTTTACCAAAATAAGCTGGTTGGCTGAGCGATGAAAATACAACGAAGAGCACCGTGATAAGATGCCGACAAACTGGTTTCTCTCCAACTTTGGCCCACTTTTTCACAAATATGCATGCTGCATCCCGAGTGACGGCGGTGGGTGAAACCCCTGCAACTGAGAAGGGAACCGCACTCCTGTTTGCAAGTAAATAGGAAATAAAAAAGCAAACGTTGACTGCGAATGCATTTAAGTGCCTGCCAAACGTCACTCAAAACACTACGCACGTGTCGCGCTTAAAGGCGCTGTTGATTCATCATCTGAACAGCGGAGCCGAGTGTATGTCATTAAGCTGGTTTGCGACAGATAAGCTGAACGAATTGGGAGAATCGCGAGCTTGTATTCGCCATCCACTTTGTCAGTCTTGACACGCTTCATTCCTTTCACGCTTCAAGACCGCCTAAGTATAGACTTTGGGGTCCAGCGACACCAGTCTGGAGTTTATCGAGACGGGTGCAGTTCGCGTAGCAGAGGGGCAATGATGGCATGGTGTTTAGTGGTTAGAGTGCTCATCCCTGGACTTTTCTATTCTAGGATGGAGTCTTGGCCACACCACTACCGCATCCCACGTACCTAATGCCTGAAAAATGCGTAATAGAGGCATTCCGCATCGAAATAGCCATAGCAGCCGGTGAGACGTAAAGCCCCAATCGGTATTGCAGCCCGTCCCGGCAAACAAACCGCCGCCCGCCAAATTTGCAGACAATGCTTCCGCCCAATCACTGTATATAAGTGGGAATAATCATCTGCAATCGGTTGGACGCGGAGCTCGGACACACAGGCCAGCACAGAGGCTGCCCAGCTCGACGGTCCAGCCGGCAGCCACGCCTGCGGCGGGTCGGCGGACGAGGCAGCCCGGCCGCCAAAAAAAGAATGCACTCACGCGCGCGCTGTCCCCCGCCCAAGAACCGCGCCCCGCCACACGCGCGCGAGGCCTGTCCGTGGGGCAGTCCGTCCGCGGCCGAAACGCTGCCAGTTCAGTCGGGCACACCGCTATCTTCATGTTAGAGCTCGAGGCCCCTGACTCGGTTTCACTTGGTTCGCCGCGGTACACATTCCGGCGGACCGGACATCCGGACGTGTTGGACATCTCGGGATCTCGCTCGTGCTGGACCGCCCCCCCCCCTCCTCGGCAGGCGCCTTAATGGAAGAGCCTCATGTCAGTCAGGAACCAGCACCGGACAGGGTCCCTATGCCCGTTTTCTCTACAGCCCAAATGCGTCGAACTGGGACCCATGTGCTATTTATTAAACCCGCTACTCTTGAGACCTTTTTGAAACCGTAAGCGTTGGTCCAGGGTCAACCATCCCGGTCAGGGGGCCTTCAGGGTCAGAGAGAGGACCAATGCATCATGTGTAGTGATAGTAACCGACTGGAAATCTGAAAGGGGTAGGGAAGGTCCTTCAGCCCCAATGGAGAAATGCATGGGGTCTCAAGTCTTGGCTGAAAACTCTATTGGGATCTGGCTGTTGAATGGGGGTTGGGGGTGGGAGAAGGTCGAGGGGTGCAGGAACCCCGTGGGAGGAGCTCTTTTCGGAACCGTGAAGTCCAAAAAATGGCTATTCTGTATAAAACCAAAAATATTGCCAAATAAAAACTCTGACAGTACCGTAGAAGTGCCTGGCAGTCCAACAAGCCATCTCTGGTAAACTCGTGGACTTCCCCTGGCCGCTCAGTCGGGACATGTGGTTAAGCCATACATCAGATTTCGCGACAGGTAGTGGCCCAAAATCGGCCAAGGCAAAGGGCCATCGTAGGTTAAGTCGATCGAATTTGTTGTCGAAAATTAGCTTCAGTGCGTGTCTCCTTCACTAACGACAGTCTCATGGCGGGGCGAATGCGCCTTCAAAAACACTCATGTCTCAAAAACACTGCCACGCCAAGTGCTCAGGTGCATTATATATGTTTTTGTGATTGACGATGACAAGTTATTTAGATGACTCTTTCGGTTAACATGACAGCATATCGTGCACTTTGCTGTTTCTTGTGAAGATTGTCTAGCCTCCGGAATATCTGGCTGAATTATGACCAGGGTGACATAACGGAAGAGCTTTGGCACCCACAGATCGGAGTGCAAAAGTGTGGATTCATGCAATGTTACGCTCAGGAAATATGTGGCTGATAGTAATATCCCCTTTGCGTGTGTGTTGTACGCATGTTTAAGTACCTATGCTCGCTGTATGTTTTAACCATCGTCCTGATTCGCCATTTTGCTTAACTCAGACTGACAGGGGAAGAGGGAGTTGATGCGACCCTCCCCCGGCGATTCCAAGCTTATGAAGATAGAGTTTGCCGAAAACAGCAGTATATTGTTCTGAACACGATCTCACCACTGATACTAGTTTTTATGTTGTTGACAGGTCAGAAGGCCGAATTTTACAGAAAACCGCACTTTGTAGTCTTATTTTATGTTTACAACAATCCTTGCGGTGACACGAACCTTAAATTGGAGTGTGTCTTGTTTAATTCTGAGTACATTGTGCAGTACAATTCTCTTGCCGCCCACCGCCTGAGCCAGCCATAGATCGCCGTCGAGTGCTCATCACAAGCTGCCTCTGCTCCGAGACCAGAAAATCAAGGAACACGTTTTGTTATCAAAACACGTGCCATGATCACCATCTTGGCGAGGGTAAAATGTCATGTTTTTGCTGTGTTGGGTATCGGCAACGATTTTTCGTGAAACGATATTCCTCATTTTGCTAATAACTGAAGCCATAGCGGGCAAAACAGGAAAAACCAATCCTTGCTTCTTTCCATAATTGCTTGCTCCTAGCTTGACCTCACACTGTCCCCGTCCCAAAAGACCAAGTCTCTCGCAACAAGTTGTGCTCTGTCCATGGGCTGGCGCCGAAAGGTTCCGATGCTCGAGAAACTTTCCCCGTCCGAATAACGAGAACATCTTCATTGACGCGCCAGACTGTTCGCACGCGCTTGGCGACAGGCAGGTTTGCGCGAACGAAAATGGCGCGAACGATAAGATGATCGACCAAGGCAACTGATCGTTGTCATCGCGTAAGACGAACTGCAGTGAACGCATAAGACCGAAGGAAATATGACAAAGATACGAGTACGCAATTTGAATATGATCACAATAGTTTTCAATATGTTCAGCTCTTTCCATCGTTTCGCTAAGTCTTTGATAATGGATGTAGAAGCACACAGTGCACTTGCGGCAAGCCCAGCGTGTGGAGCATGCTGCAAATGCTTTTGAAACGGCAGATGCAAAAGTGTAAGCGTTAGGCGACAAACAGCCGATCGCATATAGGAACAACGAGACAAATGTCAGAACATCATGTTATTGTCGGTATTTAGCGGATGCGTGGCCGGTAGGCCACGTAAGTTCCAGGTTCCAGGTTCCAGGTTCCAGGTAAGTTTCAGGCCAGGTAAGTTCGTGAGCAGCGTAGGCGTAGACAGGGGGGAGGGGAGGGGGAGGGGGAGGTACGCGGGTGCACCATCACTTTCTGAGAATGCTGAACATTCAGCCAATGGCGATGCATGGAAAAACCGTCTCTCATGAAATGTTCCAGGACAGACAAATCACTACGGCACAAAATTAC